AGAGACATTTCTTCAGAAGCTAATTTTTCTCTTACATTATTATTAAACACTTTCTCCTGACATCAAATAGCCTAATAAAATTTTAATTGCTTATAAAAGTTCTCTAGAGAAATACACAGCCCTACATTTTCTTTGAGCAGTCCCACTGGACATTTAGATAGTTTATCTTTCTTTTCTTTTCTTTTTTAAAAATATATATTTTATTAATTTTTTACAGAGAGAAAGAGAGAGGGAAAGAGTCAGAAACATCGACGAGAGAGAATCATCGGTCAGCTGCCCCTATCTACCCCCAACTGGGGATGTGCCCACAACCAAAGTACATGCCCCTGACCAGAATCGAACCTGAGACCCGTCAGTCCACAGGCTGATGTTCTATCCACTGAGCTAAACCAATCTCGGCTTTCTTTTTTTCTTAACATAAATTTATTGTCTCACAATTGTAAAGACTGGAAGTCTTTACCAAGATGTCACCAGGGCCCTGAGTTTTATAGTGAGACAATGAAATTTAGAGACAGTGAAATTTATTCAAACTGTGGAGAATCCATCCACAGCACACTCCTGGGAGATGTAGACACCAAACATCATGATCTTCTGGATACATGGCCCATCAAAAAGATATCTCCAGCCGAAATCGGTTTGGCTCAGTGGATAGAGCGTTGGCATGCGGACTGAAGGGTCCCAGGTTCGATTCCGGTCAAGGGCATGTACCTTGGTTGCGGGCACATACCTTGGTTGAGGGCACATCCCCAGTAGGGGGTGTGCAAGAGGCAGCTGATTGATGATTCTCTCTCACTGATGTTTCTAGCTCTCTGTCCCTCTCTTTTCCTCTCTGTGAAAAATCAATAAAATAAAATAAATTAAAAAAAGATATCTCCAGCCCTATCCAGTTTGACTCAGTGGATAGAGAGTCAGCCTGCAGACTTGAAGGGTTCCAGGTTCAATTCTGGTCAAGGGCACATACCCGGGTTGTGGGCTTGATCCCCAGTAAGGGGCGCATAGGAGGCAGCCAATCAGCAATTCTCTCTCATCGCTGATGTATCTATCTCCCTTTCTCTCTGAAATCAATAAAAATGTATTTTTAAAAAAGAAAGATATCTCCAAAAGGACACCCTCTAGTTGCACTGGATTGGACCATACTGAAAATTGTTAACTAATCCCTGAGTTGCAAGGTTAAAAGAGATGGTTCATTTAAGTAACATAAAAATTCACCTAAATGGCCTACTCAGGGTCACCTGAGAAGTTCTTTGTATCATTTGGAAATGGATATTCAAAGTGTAAAAATACATTACAGCTTCATTGCAAATCCAAATTTATTGCATCCTTAGCAAGTACTGCTAGAAAGATGAATCATCTTCTTTAATTTTTTTTTAATATATTTTATTGATTTTTTACAGAGAGGAAGGAGAGTGATAGAGAGCTAGAAACGTCGATGAGAGAGAAACATTAACCAGCTGCCTCTTGCACATCCCCTTCTGGGGATGTGCCCGCAACCAATGTACATGCCCCTGACCGGAATCGAACCCGGGACCTTTCAGTCCACAGACCGACGCTCTACCACTGAGCCAAACCGGCTTTGGCCATCTTCTTTAATTTTTATAGCAAGACTCCTACCAGTTAGACTTTCTTCTGCCTCACCAACCCACATACCTGGAAACCCAGACTTCAACCTTCCTCTTTCTTATTTTATCTGCCCCCAAAACTGAGTGAACATAGAACATGACTATGGTTAAGATATTGTAGGAATCTCTTTGATTAAATAAAATAGTTGGCCATTTTTTTTTGCTCCCCCAAACTCTTATAATCAACATTGTTAATTAAACATTATTGTTGATTAAACATTTTGTTGACACACACTGTGCTAGACACAGGGATTACTACAGTCAAGCTCTTCCATTCATGGGAAGGACAGACCGTAAACAAGAATCAGCCACACTGTGGTCAGTGCTATGAAAATGACAACAGTGATGGGCTAGGTGAGGTAGGTAGGAAGCCCTCTCTAAGCAGGTGATACATGAACTGAGACCTGGGGCATGAGAATAGGTTTTAGTCCATTAGAGTGCAGGAAGCCGCTTGGTGGTGACTTGTTGGAGTTATACTGGTTGGTTTGTTTTCTCATAATTGGTGTGTGTGTGCGGGGGGGGGGGGGGGGGTGTTTGTCTTAAAATGGTTTTTTTCTTTTTATACTTTATTTTTTTATTTTTTCCTTCTCTTCTTCCTTCTCTTCTTCTACTCCTCTTCCTCCTCCTCCTTCTTTTTTTTTTTTTTTTCCTATTTTCATCACTGATCCACTTCAGTGGGTACAGATCTCAGAGAATATTTTTTTATTTTTTTAAGTCATCATGTATGATGACTTTGTAGCCATCTCTGCCAATAAGGAGTGCCATATTGCAATTACCTCATCCTCAATACCATTGGCAAGGGATCCTTTGCTGAGGTTAGGCTGATCTGTCACATTGTCACCAGTACAGAGGTGGCTGTGAAAGTTGTCAGCTGGCAGGTTTCCTCTTATGTTCTTCAGGAGATTCATTCTCTCAAGAGATTAAATCATCCCAACATTACAAAGTTGTGTGAGGTCATTACCATCAGGACAAAGTCTATATTTTTATGAAACATGCTAGAGAAGGAACCTTATTTGATTATTTAGAGAACTGTGGTCCCATTATAGAGAAAATAGTTTAAGCCATGTTCCAGTAATTATTATTATTTTTTTAATATATTTTATTGATTTTTTACAGAGAGGAAGGGAGAGAGATAGAGAGCTAGAAACATCGATGAGAGAGAAATATCGACCAGCTGCCTCTTGCACACCCCCTACTGGGGATGTGCCCGCAACCAATGTACATGCCCTTGACCGGAATCGAACCTGAGACCCTTCTGTCTGCAGACCAACGCTCTACCACTGAGCCAAACCAGTTTCAGCTATGTTCTGGCAATTATTATCAGCAGCCCAGTATTGCCATCAGAGACACATCGTACTTTGGGATCTGAAGCTGGAGAACATTTTTCTAGAAGGTGAGATGAGTGTTAAATTAGCAAACTTGGCTTCAGTAGGAAATTTACAGAAGAGAAACATTCTGTGGCACCGTCTCCTATATGGCCCCAGAGATCTTGCAGCTCAAATGCTATAAGAGCCTGAACATGGACATCTGGAGCATGGAAATAGCACTCTACAGGATGGTGATAGGGGAACTTCTATTTGTGGGGGGAAATTTTAAAGAAGTTAGGAAGATCTTAAGTGGGCACTTCTTTATACCATACTTCCTGTCTCTGGAATGTCAAAGACTTTTACAAAACTTAATAATGCTCAACCTCAGCCAAAGACGAACAATGAAAGATATAGTGCAAGACCACTGAGTCAACATTGTCCAGTCAGAGGAACTGAGGCCATACTTCGAGGCACCCTGGGTTGACTTAGACCCACAAGTAGTCCAAATAATGAAGAACATGGGATATGAGTTGCATGAGATACAGGAATCACTCACAGGAAGGATATATAATTTATCTAATACTAGATAGCATGAAAACCCCAAGATCAGGGTAAGGCCCTGTGCCTCCCGAGACCCCAACATTAGTCTTTCCCCAGCGCAGACATCAGGGCAGAATAGCGGAGACCCTGGGACTCCACCACTCAGCCTAGAGTCAATGATGCCCACTCCCCCAGGAAGCCTGGGAGGACCACCGCTCCCCCAGGCAGCATGCAAGCGAGGATGGCCATTCCCTTAGACTAGAAGGAAGGATGACCACCCAGCCAGCATGGAAGGGATGAATTCCATTCCCTAGACAGTGTGGAAGGAAGGACCACACAACCTCCCTATGCAGCCTGGAATCAAGGATTGCCACCCTGAGCCCAGTCGGCCAACATGACCCTAGGGGCTCCCCCACCACCCACAGCAGCAGCAGCAACATTGGTGGAGCCCCAGAGGGGACAACCAATGAAAACTGGCTTCAAGCGAGGCAGTAAGAAGATAGACTCCATCCTCTTCCTCTGGCCACAGCCAGGGCCCACAGGAGATGGCTTGGGGGTTCTTAGGTTTTTCTTAAGATTCCTGTGCTGTAAGTCATCCACTGACAAGCAGCATCTCAAAAGGACAAGAGTGACGTCAGTATAATTTTTACAATAGTGGACAGCTAAAGCATGACCACAGTCAAAGATGCTGGGGCAATCAAGCAGTACTTTCTGCATTTTAAATGTTGAACTTTAAAGATGCTGAGCTCCAGAGAGACAGGCCATGTGGTGTGAGAGATGAGACAGAAGCTGGATGCAAACAGCAAAGCCAGAAATACATGCTTTTGGATTGACCATGGAGGTGTGCTAAATGAGAAGCATTCTATGCTTCACATCAGGACAGTTTCGGCATCTCCATGGCCTTCAGAAGCATCTTATCCGGAATACCTTGAGCTTGGAAGACTGCCTGGAGCCCCCCTGGGGTCAAGAGAAGCTGTCTTCCCTATGAGTCCACTTCTTGGCCAGACCTGAATGAAAATTTCAGAGACCAGAACTGTTTTTCCTGGGGCCATTCTCCCTCCCCGCTCTCCTTTGCTCCTATGTTTATAGGGGTTCTTATTAAAGTATTTAGCTCTCTCAAGTTTCATAATAAACTTGATGCTCCAAGGAAAAAAAGATGTCACCGGGTTTGGTTCCTCCTGAGGCCTTTCTCAGTGGCTTGCAGATGACCACCTTCTTGCTCTGTCATCATGTGGCCTTTTCTCTGTGCATATTATTAGTTTACCATTTTTGATCAACACAAAGGAAGTGCAGGATCGGATTTTGCCAACTGACCCTCTCCAACGGGGGGGGGGGGGGGGGGGGCGGGCCACACAGACACACGCGAAGGAAAGGGTCACAGGTTGACCCAGCTGGAAGCCTGAGACTTCCCGCAGGAAACACGCCCAGCTCTGTGACATCTGGCTGGACCCCGCCCCCTCCAGGCGGAGCCAATCGCGGGGCGGGGCGGGGCCTCCAAAGGCGCGTGTGCGCCGGCTGGGGGCCAGCCGGTGCGATGGACCTGGCCCTTCCCAACGCCCCGGGTCTGGCGCCGCCAGCCGAGGTGAGCTCCGAGGAGGAGCTCTCTGACTGCCTCGATTACTACTACCTGCGCGACTTCCCGGCCGGTGGGGCCGGGCACAGCAAGGGCCGCACGCAGCGCGAGCGGGAACTGCGCACTAACTGGCCGGTGCCTGGCGGCCACGAGCGCAAAATCGCACAGAAGCTCCTCAACGGCCAGCGCAAGCGGCGCCAGCGCAAGCTGCAGCCCCGGCCGCGCACCCGGCTCTCCTGCGCGTCGGTGCGTACCGGCCACGCCGTTAGGGCCCGGGGAGCCCCGTGAGCGCCATCGCCGCGGGCCGCCTCCTTGGTCCCCTACGACTCGACCAGGGCGGAGTGGGCCCTTCGGAAGCGGCACCGCCCTAGCGAGTCGCAGGTGACCCGTTTGGCCCACAGCTTATCTCCTGACTGCAGTTGGAATGGTGGAAGGGGCTAGGGAAGGTAGAAAACATATATATTTTTTTTAACACAAGTGAGCCGAAACCAGTTTGGCTCAGTGGTAGAGCGTCGGTCGGTCTGCGGACTGAAAGGTCCCAGGTTCGATTCCAGTCAAGGGCATGTACCATGGTTGCGGGCACATCCTCAGGGGGGGGGGGGGGGTGCAGGAGGCGGCTGATCCATGTTTCTTTCTCATTGATGTTTCTCTCTATCCCTCTCTCTTCTTCTCTGTAAAAAATCAATAAAATATATATTTTTTTAAAAATACAAGTGAAGCCGAAACCGGTTTGGCTCAGTGGATAGAGCGTTGGCCTGCAGACTGAAAGGTCCCAGGTTTGATTCTGGTCAAGGGCATGTACCTTGGTTGCTGGCACATTCCAAGTGGGGGGTGTGCAAGAGGCAGCTGAAAGAGGCAGCTGATTGGTGATTCTCTCTCATTGATGTTTCTAACTCTCTATCCCTCTCTCTTCCTTTCTGTAAAAAATCAATAAAAATATATATTAAAAAAAAATACTAGTGAAGAGGGGGGAGAATTTAAAAAAAAAAAAAGGAAAAAAAATACAAGTGAGGGGTTTACTTTTAGTGCTGATGCTCAGACCAAAGAAAATAACTGATTTTTGTTTTTTGTCTGATTTTTCTACAGGATACCGAAGGAACTGATAAAAAAAAGTCTTTTCTTTGACTCCAGCTGTAACGGTGGACTTAAGGGGGAGAGAATCCATGTTGGTCAACAGAATTTGGTTTTGGCATCGCTTAAGTTTACTGCTTCAACGGCCAGACTCTGGTTGTTAATTAAGTAACATCCAAGTGGGTATGCCTTTTTAGGGTTTTTAATTAAAAAGAAAGCAGCAGCAAGAGTGGCATTTTAACTTCTAGTTTTTTGGGGTTTTTTTTTAAAGTCTACAAATATTTGCATTCTTCTTCCTAAAGAAAAGATCACAAAAATGAATGGGGGGAGGAGAACAAAGAGGAATTTGTACAAGATTTCAGCTCAAGTGTGCAAGTTTAATATTTGTTTTCCAAGAAAAGGAGTACTTTAAATTGTAACAGTGTCTGTTGAACCTAGTTGCTAGGTTCCCTGTACTTCACATCTCACAACAATCCATTTTATAGAGGGGATTCTTGAGGCCCAGACAGTTCACATGTCCTTCCAGAGGTTGCACAGCTGGTTAGAAAGAAGATAAGCATAACATATACTTTCGTAAAGCATTCACTCTTTCCAGCATCACAATTTCCTCAACTGTAGACAATATTATGTGGTTCAGAAACAACCACAAACCTCCATGTCCAAGGATAAAAGTTGAATTTTAGTTTTAAAATTATACAAAATATGGCCAGGTAGCTTTCCTTTATCTTCACAGTGCATTCATTCAGCCCTTGGCACCCAGTGATGAGTCATGGTTAGGAGAGAAAGGTGTGATCTGACTATTAGTCCTAGCTGTGATCATCACTCTGGCAGTCAGCGAACTTCTGAGTGGCAACTACTTTCAAGTTCCACCAAGTCTCAGGTTTCTCATTTGTAAAATGGGAATAATATTGGATTACCTTGCCAAACTGGATTTTAGATAGGATATATGAAACATCCGACACAGTTAAGGGCCTGACACATATTAGATGCTCAATAAATGGTACCTACCTACTTTTAAGTTTACAGAATGCAATCCTTCCCCTCTGGTTACAAAGTCTTGATTATTTTACTCACTACATGCTTTTATTTTTAAAAAATATATTTTATTGACTTTTTTAAAGAAAGGAAGGGAGAGGGATATAGAGAGTTAGAAATACCGATGAGAGAGAAACATCGATCAGCTGCCTCCTGCACACCTACTACTGGGGATATGCCTACATGCCTTTGACCACAATTGAACCTGGGACCTTTCGCTCTATCCACTGGGCCAAACCGGTCAGAGCCACTACATGCTTTTAAATATCTCCTCCAACATCAGGCAGTGTGTTATGGTAGGAATCACTTTGGAGTTAAACTATACTGACTCAGTCAAGTTGCTTCAACTCTAGATTAATCTACCAGAAGACCATTTTAATCATGTAAAACCTTCAATCTTATAGGATAAAAAACCTAGATTTCTTATATTGTGCTGGAAATCATCTATTGGATTTTCTTAAATTTTGACACAACTTCCAAAAAACTGATTCTTGGTACAGGTCTTCTGTCCTCTATACTCACTATAATTCTTCATTTGAATCTGTGCTGTCGTATTTAGAATACTGTTTTCCCCTTTTACAGTTTTAATCTTGAAACTAATTCCACCTATAATTATTTAAATGCCACGTTCTTCCTGAAGCCTTCACATTGAATGTCCATTCTTTGAAATCCTATAGAACTTCACATAAGCATCACTTTACTTCTTCATATATTTTCTGTTTTTCAGTGGTGAGTTAAAAATTATTCATCTCTTTTTTGTCTGATATGTACAAAGCACGATGTCTTAGTTATAAAATACAAACACTACATTTAGAGTATAAGAACCTTAATGTTTCAAACATTTCAGTTCCTATACAATTTCTGCTGTAAAGTACAGCATACTCAGACAGATATAAGCCATGTTAAAGCAACACTCTAATGTATGTTAACTAGATTCTGCTCATTTTAGATACTAGAATATTTACAACTTAAATATAGTAATTGTAGAAATGTGTGTTATTTATTTATTGCTGTATAATAAATTACTCTAAAACCTAGTGGCTTAAAAGAACAAATACTACCTCAGTTTCTGTGGGCCAAGGATTCAAAGTAGCTTAACTGGGTGGTTCTAGCTCAGCATCTCATGAGGTTGCAGTCAAGCTGTTGGCTGAGACCAGTCATGAGAAGGTTGCTTCCAAGGTGGCTTATTCACGTGGCTGCTGGCAGGCCTCACTTCCTTGCCACATGACACTGAGTGACCTCATGATGTGATAGCTGGCTTGCCTTAGAGTAAGTGATCTGAAAAAGTGAACAAGGAGGAAGCCACAGTACCTTTTATAAGACCTACTCTCCCAAGTTGCACATCATCACTTTTGCTTTTTTTCTATCCATTCAAAGTGAGTCATTAAATCCAACTCACACTCAAGGGGAGAGGGATCAGGCCCCACCTTTTTGAAAGGACTGCTCATTTGTGGGCATTTTAAACCACCATGGTATGTTTAATATAAGTATGTGCACTTAAGAAAGCACTACTCAATGGATAATGCTATTCCTTGGGTGTATATAACCCCAGTCTTTAAAATACATTTTCTCAAATTATAAACATATAACTATGTGTACTATTTTGTAGACTGCTCTTTCATTTTAATTTCTCTCATACATGACTCAGTTTTTTATTTGTTTTTCATGATTAATTCTTCATTCTTAGACATGGAATTTCTGGAACAGGATTTGTACAGTTTTAAAACTTCTGTTATCACTCTTCCAGTGTGGCTCAGTGGTTCAGTGTTAACCTATGAACCAGGAGTCATGGTTTGATTCCTAGTCAGGGCATATGCCTGGATTGCGGGCTCAGAATGGGCTCTTGATGATCGCAGTAAAAATTCTACTCAAATTAAGTAGATAGCCGAAACCAGCTTGGCTCAGTGGATAGAGCGTCAGCCTCCAGGCTGAAAGGTCCAAGGTTCGATTCTGGTCAAGGGCATGTACCTTGGTTGTGGGCACATCCCCAGTTGGGGGTGTGCAGGAGGCAGCTGGTCGATGATTCTCTCTCATCGATGTTTCTAACTCTCTATCCCTCTCTCTTCCTCTGTAAAAAATCAATAAAATATATATATATTTTTAAAATTAAGTAGATAACAGTAGTTTTATTTTTTAAATATATTTTTGTTGATTTCAAAGAAGAGGAGAAAAATACATGAGAGAGGATCATTGATTGGCTGCCTCTACTGGGGACCAAACCCAAAACCCAGGTATGTGCCCTTGGACAGAATCAAACCCTTTAGTTCATAGGCCAATGCTCTATCCACTGAGCCAAACCAATAGGGCCAAAGTCTTATCATTTAGAAAGCATTAATTTCTTTAAGAAGTCCTATGAAAATAAAACTTTGTTTTTCATGAAAAGGTTTTGCATTTATCCTTAGATTCCACTAACACCCTGCTGTTGCTGGAAAGGTTGTGTTAAATTCTGCTACCTGTGGAAGGGGGGAAATTTCTGATGGGTATCCAAGAAGAAATGGAGGTTCCACCTCTGCTTTCTTGCCTCCATAAATTCCACCCCATCCCCAAGGACTTTCCCATGAAGCCCTCCATGAAATGCCAGCAGTCAACTTTTCCCCCACTGCGGAGGCTCTAAAATGTTATTGTTAAAAACATTTCACACCAACTATTGCTACAGCACAGGCCCTTGGGGCCTTTGCAATTGCTGCTCCCTCTGCCGGGAATGGTCTTAACCTTGGGAAGAACTGGCTTGCTTCCCCACTTCAAGGACTGTGGTTCAAATGCTGCCTCTTTAAGGAATCCTGTCCTCTTCAGCCTACATATCTCTGTCTCCCTTACCCCGCCTTTGCTTCCTATCACCATCACCTGATCTACACGGGCACTGGCTTCTCTCCTCCCTGAATTTAAACTAAGGAAGGTGTAGTCTTGTTTTATTTGGTGCTGTCTCAAACTAGCTGGCACTTGTAGATCAGAACATTTTTATCAGTGAGTACTACCTCAGTTGGAGGCACAAATTCTATAAGATATATGAAATGGATGAAAATGTATAGTAATACATACATGTACAAGCAGTATTCGCTTTTGTTGACTGAATCCACAGACAAAAGAAATACAAAAAGAGCCGAAGCCAGTTTGGCTCAGTGGATAGAGCATTGGCCTGCGGACTGAAGGGTCCCAGGTTCGATTCCAGTCAAGGGCATGTACCTTGGTTGTGGGCACATCCCCGGTAGGGGGTGTGCAAGAGGCAGCTGATCGATGTTTCTAACTATCCCTCTCTGTAAAAAAATATTTTTTTAAAAAAGAAATACAAAAAGAACCAACTGTTTCATCGATTCTTGTCTAAAGTTTTCAATTTCCCTCAGTTCATATTACGTGCCCACACTGCCTCAAAGAATATTTACCTAAATAAGTTAATGCTGAGAAGTGTTAAGTAACTTGCCCAAGGTCCAGTGGTAGTCCCCACAGAAGTCTGACTCACAAGGTTGGACTTGACGTACCACGTTAGTAATACACGTTTGAAGGAAGACGCCAAGGTCCTCGTGACGTACCCACAACCTGCTACGGGCTCTGACTCACGCAAGGCCGGGACCGTAAAGTCTGCCACAGGCACTTCCGGTTTTCTAAACAGCCCCGGCGCCCAGCTCCCGACGCCCACCGCGCGCGACGAGACGCCGTCGCGTGGTCGCGCTCTCCCAGTGACCTTCAGGGCCCTCGGAAGACGTCAGCAAACGGAAGGGCTCTGCCTGCGCGCTGATTGGTCGCGCGCTCCCAGCCCCGCCCCCTGTCTTCCGCTCTCTCGCTCTCGGCAGAAGTCGCCGGGGTCTTCTAGGAGTTTCGCACTTGCAGACGCCGACCGGTTTATTCAGTGGCGATGCCGCGTGGAAGCCGAAGCCGCACGTCCCGCATGGCCCCTCCGGCCAGGTGAGGTCACCGCGGGGTTGGGGGGCGCTGCGGGAGCTGCGGGTGCTGTGACGCAGGGTGGCCGGGCGGAGGCCGCGGACCGGGCGTCCGAAGGCCTAAGCTGCGTGGGGCCCGACTCCGCTGGTCGGCTAGAGGGTTGTAAATGGCGCCTTTGGCTGGATTTTTCCATTAGTGGCGAAGTTTCTAATTTCGAATGCCCATGAATTACTGCTTTAAATATTTCGTAGCCCGTTTTAAGTTAAAATAGCCAAGTTTTAAGAAGAAGTGGAAACGGGCTGAAACGTTCAAAATGGCAAAAAAAAAAAAAAAGGGTAGAAGAAAGGTAACAACGGGGAAATGATCGAATTTCAATTCAGTGGATAATCTTTGAGCACCGGCCATAAGCCTTTTAGGGTCTCAGCCTAATAGAGGGCACAGTCCTTACGACCCTTACATGTACATGACGTTTTCTAATTTATAAAACGCTTTTAAAATGTACTGCCACTTACACCTCATGGTAACCCTAGAGATCGGTGTTACTGCTACTTTACAGGAATAAGGAAACAGCAGACTCAGAATAAATTACTTGTCCAAGGTCATGCCTCCAGGAAGTAGGAAAGCCAGAGCTTAGTTTTCCAATGGCCAATTCAGGACATTTATCACAGTCCCCATTGCTTCCCTGGATTGTGTTCATACAGTGTGCTAGGAGTGCTTCAAGGGGTTCGCTTGTGAAAAGAAAATTGTATTCAAAGGGCAAATAACCACATTTAAAATATATATATATATACTTTTTATTGGTTTCAGAGAGGAAGGGGGAGAGAGGAGAAACATCAAGGATGAGAATCATTGATCGGCTGCCTCCTAGCATGCCTCCTGCTGGGACTGAGCTATGTGCCCTGATGGGGAATCGAACTATGACCTCCTGGTTCATAGGTCGGTGCTCAACCACTGAGCCATGCCACCTGGGCAGTAACCACTTTTTATAAAGTGAAATCATAAACTTTTGACCTGGCCTTTCTTTGGAGGAAGAATCTAAAAATGGTTAGAGGGTACATAATTTATATGAAGATTTTACTGAAATAGTTGAAAGCATCCAAATGTCCTACAGATGGAAAACAACAGTTGAAATTAATTTTGGTATAACAGTTCAGGCAAGTCCCTTCATCCCTGGGCTTCAGAGTTCTAATCTGTAAAATGAAGGAATTTGACTAGATTATTTCCCCAGATGACAGTGTGCAGGTCTTCATTCAGATGTTATCAGCTCAGGGAGACCTCCTTTGACGGTCCTTAAATTATGACATCCCACAACATGCTCCCCCCTCGATCCATATTTTTTCCTTAGCACTTGTGCTGAATTCTGTGAGAATATTTTAAACTCTTAATAGTTTACAGTTTTTATGCAATACTGGAAAAACTGTGTTCTTTAAACATGCTGTGGGCTTTGTGAATACATGGAAATGGTTGCAAAGAAGCAGGAAAAAATAGTTGAACTTGGTGGTTACAGCCTGAACAAAAGGTTAAAGAGACGAAATGTAACAAAATGGTTTAGGGAATTGTATTTTGTAAAGTTTTCTTGTATGTATGTAGTATTACGGTGCTGGTTTCCAAACCTGGTTGGAAGTAGGAGCTGCATACTTTTTGTTCTTTACTTTCACAGCCGGGCACCTCCGATGAGAGCTGCCCCCAGGCCAGCACCAGCAGCTCATCCGCCAGCACCAGCTGCAGCCTCTGCTGTTGGCGCACCTGCTGCCGCGCCCCGGCAGCCAGGTCTGATGGCCCAGATGGCGACCACTGCCGCCGGGGTGGCCGTGGGCTCTGCCGTAGGCCACACGCTGGGCCATGCCATCACTGGGGGCTTCAGTGGAGGAAGTAATGCGGAGCCCGCAAGGCCCGACATCACTTACCAGGTAAGGTTTTGGGCGGCCTTCCCTTCGGTGGTATATTTTATGAGAAAGCCTAGTTATTTGTAAGTTCCTTGTGTATAAGAACTGTGTGTAAATTTAAAATCCACAATGCTGTTAACAAACAAAATGTTTTATCAAAAAGCACACTTGACAGTTGAGTTAGCGCCTTAGGCCAGCATCAGTAAGTGCTGTACAAAGTTTATTTTTCCCCAAGATGTAGAGCTCTAGTTCAACCTGATTCACTGCAAAACAGCCGTTCTTTTCTTATTTTAAATATTTTGTCTTGGTTACCCTGAACTAATTCAGTCTCAATCTTAGTTGTCTTTTTTATTTTTTTTATTTCCGAGAGTAAGGGAGAGGGGGAGAGAGAGAGATGGAAACATCAATAAGAAGAGAGAATCATTGATCGGCTGCCTCTTGCATGCCCCCTACTGGGATCAAGCCCATAACCCAGGTATGTGTCCTTGATCAGAATCTAACTCGGGACCTTTAGTCCACAGGCTGACTGACGCTCTATCCACTAAGGGCTCAATCTTAGTTTTCAAAAAAATCTCTTTAGGAGCTCTTTGCTCTCTGATCTCTTACCTGACATTTGCCACTTGCCCCTCTTTGAGGTTTGTGCATTTTCTCCTCTGATGAGCATGAGTGTTACTCTCTTGTAATTCTGGTATACTTTTTTTCCTCCATGAAACTTCTTTAAGTGCTCAGGTAACCCTTTCACTTTACTTGGATCTTTGTTCTTGAATCTTGCTGATTATAACTGGAATTTTGCTAGAACTTATTTTCTGCCTTGAAAATACCTCACTTTCCATGTTATCGGCTGAAAACTTTAATTAGCAGCCAGGTTTAGTTCTGTTTCCCAGGTAACTTCAAAGACAGTGGATACTGCTCTTTGCCCAGGGGTAAGTCTGATTTCCTTTCTAAACGTTCCTGAACGTTATGCCTTTGCAGGAGCCCCAGGGAACACAGGCATACCAGCAGCAGCAGCAGCAGTTTGGCCCATGCCACTATGAGATGAAACAGTTCTTGGAGTGTGCCCAGAACCAGGGTGACCTTAAGCTTTGTGAGGGTTTCAGCGAGGTGCTGAAACAATGCAAATTTGCAAATGGTAGGTGATATATCGATTCATGATTGAACTTGCATAAGCTTGGCTTCTTTAATGGTTGTGCTCCTAGATCTTCTACAACTTAGGGAATCTGCATTTAATAAATTAAACAGGCAAATTAGAGGAGATTTTGTTAAAATTACTCTAAAGATAAGCTAACTTCTAACAAACTGGTGCAGTGGTTTCTAATCATTATCTTAATCTTTCACCAGTTAAGGGTATAGATTAGTTTGTCAGATTTTCAAGTGAGTTATTTAGACTTAAAGTTATGAATACAAAATTCTGTTTTTACCAAAGTCCAGGAATGCACATAAAGACTGATATTATTGGCGTTCTGCATGCCTTATTAGACAAGTTTATTAAGTCTCCCCCCTCCCTCCAGAATTCTGCAAGTTAGGCTTTCCGGGATGTCAATTTGTTTTCACATAATTTCCTTCCATCCACCTAAGAATACACCACCTATTAAAATGTTTGTTTTCATTTCCGCCCTTTATTTTGTTAGGACATAAGGGAGAAGTTAATCCTTTCAGGTGGTTGAACTGTGCAAGTAAGAGATTGCGTGTCCTAGTTTATCAGAATTCTTTGATGAAGCTACATCTAGTATCAAACTGGCTATATTTCTGCCTCAGGACTCTGTCCCCAGAAGCACATGTGCCCTGGCTTTTCTCAGTTGTGACAAATGCACAATGTTTTGTTGGTTATGGGATGCTTTCAGTAACTTATTAAAGAAACGCTGGGGTTTTTTTTCTCTCCTTCTAAATGTACCTTTTTTTCTTTTGTTTGCAGGATTAGCCTAATCAAGAAGGTCAAGTTGAAGAAATGGGAAATCATCTCTCATGTTTAAGTTAACCTAGTATAAAAATATAATTGATAGTGAAATATAAAACTACTAGTTAACTCTCCTATATCAATAATAGTTTCCTCACTTCAGAATTGCAGTAGAAGAGAGTGTGCTTACTATGTAGAAGTTCATTAAGATAATAATTCAGTTTGGGGCTGAGCAGATGTTTGTGTGGCTTCCTTAAACCAGCTTTTGTGATGTTTGTAAATCAGTTACAATAAAGTGATTTTCTTCTGAAATGGTGTCTGATAAATGTAAGGTAATAAATTTTGGATATAGTATTGCATCCAGAATATACGTATTTTTCAGAACATAATTGTCTCAATACATCTTTAAGTTTATCTAATTTATAGCCTCTGGACATGAAATTAGCATCCACCCAGAGGGGCTGGTAAAGCTCCCTGAGAAACCTTTTTAGGGAAATAGATCAGAGATGAAAACCATTCTCTTAATACACACAGTTCCCCTATAATGTTTTCTGATTTAAGGCATTGTAGCTTCCTCTTCCTGAAAGATGCAGGTGAGCTGCAATTGACTTGAAATGGACAATTTGAGATGCACCATTTTTGTTAACCAATGAAAAACCTCAACTGAAAATTTTACTCAAGAAGTTAATCTCCAAGTCTACATTATGCTCTTGCACTTTTTCAATTTTCAAATGTACCTTTCATTGATTGTGTTACTGGTTTCCCCCCTTTTAAGTTTTATTTTATTTTTTTAATATATTTTATTGATTTTTTTTAATACAGAGAGGGAGGGAGAGAGAGAGTTAGAAACATCGATGAACGAGAGTCACTGATCAGCTGCCTCTTGCACGCCCCCTACTGGGGATATGCCCACAACCAAGGTACATGCCCTTGACCAGAATCAAACCCGGGACCCTTCAGTCCCCAAGCTGACGCTCTATCTATTGAGCCAAACCGATCCCGGCCCCCCTTTTAAGTTTTAGAGACCTCTTACTGTGGGGGAGTTGTTGAATGAGTGAATTACTCAGTTGCTGCCCGTCCTCAGATATGTTTTTAGAGTGCCCTTTTCTACCAAGTCACTCAGTTCCTGAAAAGGGCAAAGACTGCCTTACCCTGAGCATCTAAATGGCCACAGATAATTCACTCCTGGCGAGTCCTCTAATAGTCCCTCTTGGGTTTGTCTGTGGGCTCCTTTGCCAATTCTTCAGGAGGCTCATAGTGTTAGTTGCTCCTTATATCCAAGAGGTGATGGTCTATAGTGGGTACCCAAATATCATTAATTAAGTTAGTAAATCAAAGGAAAATAAGACAGCAGTAAAATGCAAGAGTCTGCCTGGCCTGGCCTCTCCCTGGTAGGAGCCATGGCTCCCCAGAGAAAGGTACTGGTAATAATCCTTTAGGTGCATTAGTCTTTTTCCCTAAGGCCAGAAGGTTTTCTGATGCTTTGAAAGAGTCGAGTCTATAGCTTAGAATCAGAAAAAAAAAAAAAAAACATTGATAGTAAAAGGATGAGATTGAAGTGTTTTCATCCTTGGAGCCAGAAGCTGCATCTCAATAAACAAGACCTTTATGCATAAAACTCAACCCTAAATTCATCTTCAACTCCTTCCTATGTAGCAATTCAGCAAAGTATTTCCCCAGAGTGAAAAAGAGATGGTCAGCATGATATAACAGAGAGCACTTGGACCCACATCTGGGGTTAATCTAGGCACTCCTACTCACCTATTTTTTCACGCTAAATAAGTCAAACATTCAAAGGGTCTAATACCAGAGTTTTGGGGTCCAAGTGAAGTGCTTTGTAATATGCTAATCAAATGGATGTTTATGGGCTCAGCTGTGAATTAGCCCTCCCTTTTTTCGTATATTAGAATTAAGGGTTTGAAAAAAGGTTGCTTTTAGAATAAGAGAGCAGTAAATGTCTACTGTGTGCCACTTGTATACATTATTTCCAATTAATTCAATATCTTATGGTAGAATCTTACTGATGAGGACCCTCTTCCAAAGAGCTCAGAGTTACACAGAGTCCATATGCTTTTCCTGGCACGCTGAAGTCTTCCCAGTAGTTGCCCAGCCATCCAGCTGCCATGGCCCAGTGGTTGAGCATTGACCTATGAACCAGAGATCACTGGCCAATTCCTGGTCAGGGCATATGCCTGGGTTGTGGGCTCCAACCCCAGTTGGGGGCATGCAGGAGGCAGCCGATCAGTGATCCTCATCATTGATGTTTCTATCTCCCTCTCCCTCTCTGAAATCAATAAAAAATATATATATTAAAAAAAAAAAAAAAAGTCTTCCCAGTAGAAACTTAAGGCTGACAACAAAATGGGTTAAGGATGAGATAATGGAGGCAGATCTTAGGTCAATTCCTGAAGGGGATGTTCCCTAACCTTTAAGGTCTGCATTTTGTGGGGCAACCACACAAAGCGTCCCTGAGCAGATCCTGTTGTCCCTGTCCCAGCACTAGTGTGCCGTTTCCTGATCACACCAAACACAGAAATGGCTCCCAGAGAAGCCGGTTGGCTTTAGACCCTCTGGGCCTGGAGACCAAGTGAGCTCCAGAGGCAAATGGTCGTGTCATGCCTAGTCCCAGGTCACCCGAACTTCCCTCACCCTCCACCAGAGGTCACCGCTAGCGAGACTCCTGTGCGCTGTCCCTTGCTGAGCCTTGGCCTGCATCCCGGGTTTGTTCTTGTGATTTATTTTTGGCACCTCAGCCTTCCCTCATCAAGTAGCAAAGCACGAAGGAAGAGCAGCAAAATATCCTGCTCCGGCCACAGCTGCAGTCCTCTATTGTCCTCTCTCTCCAAGGGGCTCCGAGACCTTTGGGATTCCTGTCAAGTCCACCCAAGGCCTGCGGGGACCTAACGGTGAGTAGCTGGGCCAGTGGTGGACAAAAGCCAGGCGGTAGACAGGATTAGGGGGAGGCTGAGGGGTTAGAGAAGTAGGAACCCTGAAGTCCATTAGACCCTCTTCCCTTCGGAAGGCAGGTGGACGAGACCAGTGGTGGCATTGACCCTGGAAGGGCCTCCGGAAGGAGTTTAGAAAGTGAGTTCCTGTGACTGTGTTTCAGGCTGAGTTTTGGAAAGGACATTATGTTCCAGAAAGGATTAAACCCATTTGGTGACCCTTTTCAAAGGGGGTCTTGGGGAGAGTGTAGGGTATGCAGGTGGAGGCAGTGAACAGGCACATAAAATCAGCCCCAAGTTAGGCCTATAGCAAAAGGAGGGAACAAGAGAAACCTCCCCAGCTCACCGCAAGAGAGATGAATGCCGTCAGGACTGGCTGGACCTGGCCATGCTGTGGAATGCATCCCCAGCTGGGATGGCATCCTGGGTGGGTCCAGATGTATCCTCTGCCTGGGGAGGGCTGGGGGAAGGGAAAGAGCTGGTGCTACACAGTGATGAGAACTTATAAGGACTTGCCAGCAAATGTTGATGTTACAGGGAACAGACTCTCCTGTGCTCGGTTGGGGTTGCTGACAGGACAGAAGCCGCCTGCTGCTGGCAGGAGGCTTCTGATAACCAGGCACCCAGCAGTAGGGACACCAGGCTTCCTGGAACGGCCAGCCCAAGTCTGGAGGCAGCCAGGCCTGCAACTTGGCTGGTCAGCAAATCAGCCCCTGTGACAAGCCAGGCCTTGTTGGGCCCAGGAGAATTAGGACTAGGAAAGTTTGGACCCTGCTCAGTGGCAGCTCATGCCCATTTTCTGTCCTTTTGGTGGGTGATTTTTTTCTCCATTCCTCAAATCCTTCATCTGAGGTCAGTATCCGGAGCTCAGCTCCTCTGTCCAGGTCTGAGTGCCCGGCTCTGTACTGCCCCACACTGTGGCAGGACCACTCAGGGCTCACTGGCCATCACTAGTGGGACACGGGGCATTCTGCTGACAGGCCCTGCACCAAAGGAATACCTCCACCATCCCACCACCGACTCACATCCGGGGAGCAGCTCCTGCTACGTGCCCTCACTGGATACATAAGAGGGGCAGGATGGCTGGGGTTGGGACATCCTAGACAAGATCACAGCTGAATGGGGGACAGGACAGCACACAATGACAAGTGATAGCAGAGGCTGGGACCGATTCCCCCATCCAGCTCTGCATCCCTCAGAGCATCTGGCGCAGAGCTTTTCAAAGAACATAAAAGAACAAATGAGTGAAAGATGATTATGAGAATCCGGGTTAAGGACAAAATGAGTGAGGAAGGAGCATGTTCAGAAAGAAGGGGCGTTTTCAGGGTCAGACAGGACTGGGGTAGATAAGGAGAGGCTGTAAGAGCAGCATATTAAGAGGACCAAATTGTGCAGCTTCTCACCTTTTCCACAAGTGCAGGGAGCAGCGGAAGTAAAGCAGGGCCAGCCTCATCCCCTCAAAGAGGAAAGGAGCCGAAACCGGTTTGGCTCAATGGATAGAGCGTCGGCTTGGGGACTGAAGGGTCCCAGGTTCAATTCCGGTCAAGGGCATGTACCTTGGTTGCGGGCATATCCCCAGAGGGGGGTGTGCAAGAGGCAGCTGATCGATGACTCTCTCTCATCGATGTTTCTAACTCTCTATCTTTCTCCCTTACTCTCTGTACAAAATCAATAAAATATATTTTTTTAAAAAAGAGGAAAGGAAATCACTTTAATTTGCCCTCTGAAGAGGTTCTCTGTGGTTCTTTCTAAATTTATTTTTATTGATTAATTTTAGAGGGGGGGGGGGAGGAGGGAGGGGAGAAAAGACATAGATTTCTTGTTCCACTTATTTATGCATTCATTGGTTGATTCTTCTATGTGCCCTGACCAGGGACCGATCCCATGACCTTGGTGTATTGGGATGATACCCAGTGGTTCCCAACCATATTTTTGGCCACGTCCCACCTAAGATTCTCTAAAATCCTGATTCCTCTTTCCTCCATGACATATAATTCTTATTATTCAAAAAGTGAACTCCTGCCGAAACCAGTTTGATAGAGCGTCGGCCTGTGGACTGAAGGGTCAGGGGTTTGATTCCGGTCAAGGGCATGTACCTTGGTTGCAGGCACATCCCCAGTAGGGGGTGTGCAAGAGGCAGCTGATCGATGATTCTCTCTCATCGATGTTTCTAACTCTCTCTCTCTCTCTCTCTTCCTCTCTGTGAAAAATCAATAAAATATATTTGGGGAAAAAAAATGAACTCCTATTCATGTGGAGGAAGACTAAAAGGCCATTAACTTGGTCTAAATAAGCTTCCAAAGAACATGGCGTCCATGAAAGAGAAAAATAAAAGAATGAAAGGACAGTTGAAGTACTGAGAAAGAAATCACTAAGAAATTGTTTTTTTGTTTGTTTGTTGTTTTTTTTAAATATTTTTATTGATTTTTTTACAGAGATGAAGGGAGAGAGATAGAGAGCTAGAAACGCTGATGAGAGAGAAACATCGACCAGCTGCCTCTTGCACACCCCCTACTGGGGATGTGCCCGCAACCAATGTGCATGCCCCTGATAGGAATCGAACCTGGGACCTTTCAGTCCGCAGACCGATGCTCCCCCACTGAGCCAAACCGGCTTCGGCAAAATCACTAAGAAATTGTTACAAAAATAATAATAGGAAGTGATATGAAAAAATAGCAAATAAAGTTTCAAAATACAGAGAACTAAAATGCATAAATACGTCACAATATATATCTACCCTGTTTCCCTGAAAATAAGACAGTGTCTTATATTAATTTTTTCTCCCAAAGTTGTGCTAGGTCTTATTTTCAGGGGATGTCTTATTTTCTGGGAAACACGGTATATACTGTATACGAGGCCCCTAAAACCATAAGAAATGCAAAAAAAGCCACTGTTAATAACTCATTCTCGAATTGTCCTCCCTTAAAAATCAAATTCCAGCCGAACTGGTTTGGCTCAATGGATAGAGCATCGGCTTGGGGACTGAAAGGTCCCGGGTTCGATTCCGGTCAAGGGCATGTACCTTGGTTGCGGGCATATCCCCAGTAGTAGGTGTCCAACAGGCAGGTGATCGATGACTCTCTCATTGATGTTTCTAACTCTCTATCTCTCTCCCTTCCTCTCTGTACAAAATCATTAAAATATATATTTTTTTAAAAAAATCAAATTCCAAACCCCCCTGGGGGGGCATGTGCCCCACTTTGGGAACCACTGCTCTAACCAAATGAGCTAACCAGCCAGAGCCTCTGTGGTTCTTTCTAAAATCAAGGCTATGCCTGCCTCCGCAGCGCTAACCTTGGGGCCCGAGGTCCCGCAGGCCTGGGCTCGGCTGACTATCCCTCCCACAGGGGGAGCAGCTTACAGGGAGAACACGCAGGGAGCCATGGCCACCTAGACTCGCATGTTTGCAGCCAGTGGGAAGAACGATGCTGGACTCTTTCCACAGTGTTTTTTCAATTCTTATTCATTTTGAACATTCACAATAGGCAGCCCTGTGCCAGGCGAGACAAAGATGGGTGAAAAACCGGTTCCCGCCCTCAAAGAGCACATCCCCCAGGCCGGGAAGGCTGATGACATCTTTCTGTTCCCTCTCAGAGCCCTTCCGAACCACCCCGAGGAGCTGAGCATGACGAGGGACGAGGCGCCGCTGGACTCACATTCCACAGAGGGTTTCTATGAGAACTATGAGCCCAAGGAGATCCTGGGCAGGTAAGGCCCGGACCGGCCCCAGCAAACGCTGTCCTGGGCTCCCGCCGGCTCTGCCAATCCCCGGGCCAATCTCTGCGGGACCCTGAGCACCGAGCCCATTTCCATCCCTCGGTTTGAGTCCTCCCCTGCTGACCAGGAAGGTAGGGTGCGAGTACCCAGACCAGTGACATCTCCTGGCAAAGAGCTTCCTACAGCCCTCACTGGTGCTGGTGACAAGCACCTCCAGACCCAGCATTGGGCCAGGGTCAGAGATCAGGGGTCAAAAAAACTATGGCTTGAAGGGTGTACGGCCTCTTTCTATGTGTGAAAGAACACTGAACGGGGAGTTAAGAGGCCTGAAACCAGCCGAAACCGGTTTGGCTCAGTGGATAGAGCGTCAGCCTGTGGACTGAAAGGTCCCAGGTTCAATTCCGGTCAAGGGCATGCATCTTGGTTGCGGGCACATCCCCAGTGGGGGGGGGGGGGGGCGGTGTGTGTGTGTGTGTGTGTGTGTGTGTGTGTGCAGGAGGCAGCTGATCAATGTTTCTCTCTCATCCATGTTTCTAGCTCTCTATCCCTCTCCCTTCCTCTCTGTAAAAAATCAATAAAATATATTTAAAAAAAAAAAAAAAAAAAAAAGAGGCCTGATACCAGGCTTGTTACTCATCCGCATCCTACTTCTCCCAAAAGCTCCCAGGGAGTTGGGGGACCAGGCAGGACATCTTTGCTGTGGCCTCGACGTGGGGCACACCCCGAGACCACTTGTCCTCTGCACCCCAGGGGCGTTAGCAGTGTCGTCAGGCGCTGCATCCACAAGCCCACGCGCAAGGAGTACGCTGTGAAGATCATCGACATCACCGGCGGGGGCAGCTTCAGCCCCAAGGAGGTGCAGGAGCTGCGCGAGGCCACGCTGAAGGAGGTGGACATCCTGCACAAGGTGTCAGGGTACCCCAACATCGGTGAGTACTGGCTCCCAGCCACAGCGGGGTGCTCCACCATGCTTCTGCCCGGAAAACCCACGCCAGGGAGTGCAGCCCACTATGCAGCGAGCCAGAACTGCCCAGAGTGTCTCCTGCACCCCGAGGCCCGCCGGCCCAGTCCTGGCTCCCACCTCCGGGAAGACTGCGCCCAGGGATTCAGCTCTCGGCCTCCTCCAGCCAGGCAGAAGGGGTCGCAGGCAGGTCTGGGACTGGGTGAGGGCGGGGGAGGAGAGTGTGAAGTGCCTGGTCCCGCCCGCTCCCCCAGGGGGCCTCCTTGGATTAGTGTCCAGATACCCCCTCCGTTTGCGCAGTCAGCCCCAGCCGCTTTAGTCCCCCTGCCCCTAGTCCCCCTGCCCCTAGACCCCGCTGCCTCTGCCCAGGCTCCTCTGCTGCCTGAGACGAGCCAGCCGTTTCCATTTCAGTACAGCTGAAGGACAGTTATGAGACCAACACTTTCTTCTTCTTGGTGTTTGACCTGTAAGTACCCAGCCCTGGAGCCAGCCATACCCCGAGGCTCATCGGAGAAGTCATATTGTAGTCTCCCATCCATGCAGCTGCACGGTAGATGTCAAGTAGGATCACAAGTGCTTTAGGCAGGTCAGCCCTGGGGTCAGGCTACGGGCTTTGGATCCTGGGTCCACCACGTATGGAGCTTTTCTTTTCTTTCTTTCCTTCCTTCCTTCTTCCTTTCTTTCCTTCCTTTCTTTCTTTCTTCCTTTCTTTCTTATTTTGTTGTTAATCTACACCCAAGGATACTTTTTGCCATTGATTGTTAGAGAGAGTGGAAGGGAGGGAGGGGAGAAGAGGGAGAGAGAGAGAGAAATGTAAGAGAGGCATGACTGGCTGCGCCCCCCCTCCCCACATGCACCCGACTGGGCCAGGGAGTAAGCCCACAATCCAGAGACGTGTCCTGGGAATCAAGCCTGAGACACTTGGGCTGATGCTATGGTCTATCCACTGAACCACACTGGCCAGGGCGTTGTTGCCACTTTTGTTGGAAAAGGTTCCCAGCAAAAAGAACTCCCTGGCTCGTCGTTGCCCCACTCCACGGAGTCCTCGCTGAAAAACAGAAATCCCTCTGCGTGGCTCACTGTTAAAGCGGTGTCTTGATTTCTCCATATACAACAGCTTATTTAGGGGCCGGGTTTCTTGAGATAATTCTTCAGGTAGACTTTGTATTGTTGGAACATTTCCTATGGTGGCCAGACTGAATTGTGGCTTTACCTGGAGAAACCATGTAAATTAAATGGCCAGCTCCAGGAAGGCAGAGCCTGCTGATGTACCTCGCACAGTCCCCAGTACTTACAGGTAAACCTCCTGCTACTGCTGCTGCTAATAGTGAGTTCTCCTAGTGTCTCTACATTGGGATTAAAAGAACAAAAACGGGATCCACATGTAGCTTTTTAGGAACAGTACAGATATTGTATAAAGCAAGGCTTACATCTGTTGTTTCTTCAGATGGAACCCCTCTTCCTGCTAAGCTCAGTGGTTCTCTTGCCTCTCTGTGACTCCCGCAACATCCCTTGTGCCCTAGGAACCCAACTGCTTTTCCTGGAGGAGCGGGGGAAAGGGGGCAGGATGCACCTTTCCTATTTAACGCCGGGAGACTTTCCCAGGGACCCTCCAGACCGGACCAGCCGCAGCTGTCCCAGCTCCGCTCAGAGGCCCTGTCCTTGGGGCAGCTCAGATGTCCCTAACCTTTGAAGAGTTACTTGGGGAATCTATTTTTAATGCTGCCCCAAGTTGCCCTCCAGGTTATAACTGGATTTTTCTAACAGAGACCTCTTTATAGAGCATCCCAAGAAGTGAGAAGAGCCTCAAATGGTTTGGCTCAGTGGATAGAGCGTCGGCCTGTGGACTGAAGGGTCCCAGGTTCACTTCCAGTCAAGGGCATGTACCTTGGTTGCTGGCACAACCCCAGTAGGAGCTGTGCAGGAGACAGCTGATGGATGTTTCTAGCTCTATCCCTCTCCCTTCCTCTCTGTAAAAAATCAAATATATATATATATATATATATATATATATATTTTTTTTTTAAAGAAGAGAGAAGATTGAACTGCAATTCTTTATTTATTTATTTATTCATTCATTCATTCATTTATTTATTTTATTGATTTCAGAGAGGGAAAGATAGGAACACCCATGATAAGAGAGAACCATGGATCAGTTACCTCCTGCCCGCCCCCTACTGGGGATTGAGTCCACAACCGGGCATGTGCCCTGACCTGTGCCCTGACTAGGAATTGAACCTGTGACCTTCTGGTTCAGAGGTTGATGCTCAACCACTGAGCCACGTTGGCCCGGCTGAACTGCAATTATTAATCCTAACAGGCACAATGCTCCTCCAACACTCAACGCTCCTTCCATTTGCGCCTGAAAAATACTAGGATACTCCTGTCCTCCTGATCTGGGTCTGGGTCCTTGGGGGGCAGTGGGCCCGTTTTCCATCTCCCAGCCCTTGATTTTGGCCCTGACAGATGTGTCCATGCTGTCACTCCCACCGATGGGAGAGACCCTCACGCTGGCGCCATACCACCCCGCCAGCCTCCCTTGCTCTTCTCCCAGGCAACCTCTCCACTCACTTCCCAGCTCCTCCCTGCAGACCTGGGTCCTCTGCCTCTGGAGGGGTGAGGGTGGGAAAGAGCTCTCTGGGAGCCGGCTGAGAAGGGGGTGGTCTTGGGATCAAGCCAGCTACAAACCCTCTGTCACCACAGGATGAAGAAGGGGGAGCTCTTTGATTACCTCAATGAGAAGGTCACCCTGAGTGAGAAGGAAACCAGGTGAGGGTCCTCTTGCCCATCTCCCCACTCCCCGCCCGAGTCCCAGTGCCACAGGCACCCAGGCCTCCGGGGGGCGTGCACCGCCGGCTTTGTGACCTCCCTTGGCGGCTCAGCCCGGGGTTCCCAGCCTGCCCTCCCCCGTGTGCCGTCGGGCTGGTGTGGGGGCCCCCTGACCCTGCAGAGGAGACCAGTGACGCGCGCCTGTCCGCCCCAGGAAGATTATGAGAGCCCTGCTGGAGGTCATCCGCACGCTGCACAAACACGACATCGTGCATCGGGACCTGAAGCCCGAGAACATCCTCTTGGACGACGACATGAACATCAAGCTCACAGACTTCGGCTTCTCCTGCCAGCTGAAGCCAGGGGAGAAGCTGCGAGGTCCGGTAACCAGGCCTGGGCCCGGTAACCAGGCCTGGGCGGCTCAGGCTTTCTCACCTATCTCCCAGGAACACAGATTGTCGGGGACCCGCCCCTAGGTCCCCCCAGAATAAGAGTCCTATCATTTCCGGGTTAGGTGCCTTTGCAGGTAGGTCCTCTTCGCAGGGCTGAGGTCAGCCAGGTTCCCACTGCCTGAGCTCTAGGCCACAATAGTCAGATGTGGCCGAAACCGGTTTGGCTCAGTGGATAGAGCGTCGGCCTGCTGACTGAAAGGTCCCAGGTCCGATTCCGGTCAGGGGCATGTACCTGGGTTGCGGGCACATTCCCAGTAGGTGGCGTGCAAGAGGCAGCTGATCGATGACTCTCTCTCATCGATGTTTCTAATTCTGTATCTCTCTCCATTTCTCTCTGTGAAAAATCAATAAACTATATTTTTAATAGTTAGATGTGACCAGGGAACCGACAGGCCCCCAGGTGGTGGCTCCATAAGCCAGCTCTGGCGGCTGACCTACCCTGACGGTAACTGTTCCCACAGAGATCTGTGGGACCCCCAGTTACCTGGCCCCCGAGATCATCGAGTGCTCCATGAACAGCGACCACCCGGGCTACGGGAAGGAGGTGGACATGTGAGTGAGTTGGCGGGGAAGGGACAGGGATGCCACCACGGCCGGGACACCTGGCTGGGGAGGGGAGGACCCGGCTGGAGCCACAGCCAGTCCCCCTGCCTTCCTCCTCCCACCCGCCGGCGCCAGGTGGAGCACGGGGGTCATCATGTACACCCTCCTGGCCGGCTCCCCGCCCTTCTGGCACCGGAAGCAGATGCTGATGCTGAGGATGATCATGAGTGGCAACTACCAGTTTGGCTCACCCGAGTGGGACGACTACTCGGACACCGTGAAAGACCTGGTGAGGGGCCAGGCCCGCTGGCTCCTGGGCTCAGGCGAGGGGCAGACCACCGCGGGGGGAGGGGAGAGGGAGCAGCGTGCCAGGCCTAGGAGGGAGGGGTCTGCCAGGGGACCCCGCGGCTTCTGACGTGCTGGCCGGGGACCTGCCCTGCTGTTTTCACTACCCACCCCGTTCCCTCAGGTCTCCCGCTTCCTGGTGGTGAACCCCCAGGGCCGCCTCACCGCGGAAGAGGCCTTGGCGCACCCCTTCTTCCAGCAGTATGACGCCGAGGAGGTGCGGCACTTCAGCCCCCGGGGCAAGTTCAAGGTACTGACGCTCCCTTCCCATCCAGGGCCCTGCAGTCCAAGTGCCTCCCCACCCCCCCACCCCCCAACTCCCCACCTGGGATCACTACTCACGCCCCTTACACGCGAGGGTTTCCAGGGCACCTGCCCTTCCCCTCCCACCCCCCTGTGATGGCTCCCAGAACTCTGGCTCCAGGGAAGACAGTGGTCACCTGACAGTTGTCACATGCCTGCCCGCACCGGGAGGGCAGGAACACTGGGACGGACCAGCGGGGGGGGGGGGGGGGGGCTGCTCCCGGCTCAGTCCTGGCCCCCCCCCCCCCCCCCCCGCAGGTGATCGCTCTGACAGTGCTGGCTTCCGTGCGGATCTACTCCCAGTACCACCGGGTGAAGCCCGTGACCCGGGAGATGGTCATGCGTGACCCCTATTCCCTCCGGCCCCTGCGCCGGCTCATCGACGCCTACGCCTTCCGGATGTACGGCCACTGGGTGAAGAAGGGCCAGGAGCAGAACCGGGCCGCGCTCTTCGAGAACACCCCCAAGGCCGTGCTGCTCTCCGTGGCGGAGAAGGACGACTGAGGTGCCGGCAGGAGGGATGGGGGCGGGGGCAGGCAGGGAGGGGAAGCCACAGAAACACTCGACGAAGGAATGAGACTGTGCAGGGGAGGACCTGGGCCACTCTCCCCCCAGCGGCTCTGCACAGCGAAAGGCGCTCCCATCACCATGCAGCCGGGGCCTGGCCACGGAGGAGGGCACTGGATGCACATGGTCTGACCGCCAGGGGCCTTCCCGCTCCTCCACCTCCCGGTGGCACCACCGTCTCATTTCTGCTCAGGGGAGGCCCCGAGTCACGGACCCTCGGACGCACTTCCCCTAGGGTCCCGGGGTGAGGGGAAAACAGACAGCCGACGGGGATCCACACTCACAGGAGACTTCACTGACCTCACCGTGACACCATGGGAGCAGGTTCTGCTCGTGGGAACAGGTTTCCAGAGGCATAAGGAAGCCCTGATGTGAAGAACAACGGAAAGGGACACTCCTCGTGTTTGTCTTTGTGGAGCGTCATTTATTTTGTGACTCGCAGGAGGCGCGGTTTGGCCTGGCAAATGCCCTGTGAAGGCTGAACTGCGCGATAGAGAGCTCACGCTTCTCCATTTCACATACAGAGAGCGGAAGCCAAGTTCCTTCAGAGGCACACAGAAACCCTCCACGGATGCAGGAAGCCTTGCCCTTCCACGGCAATTTGCTGGGCAAACAGAGAACTGGGGAAGTTCTGCCCTAAGAGATAATGTCAGATCCCCGAATCAGACACCGAGAGAGGGGGAGGGAACGGACTTAAAATGGCTTTAACCAACTGCCTTTAAGAGGGCTCTGCCCCAATGGTATGGGTGACCTTTGACCTCTAATTAAAAACACCCCGCTCCCAGCCACAATCAGTGAGCTGGGGCCCTTCACCAAGACACATGGCCTCCCCTGAGGCGAGAGGCCTCTCCCGCCCACCTGCCCACCTGCCCACCAGGTGAGAGGTGCCTGTCAAAAGGGGTGGAGGAGGGGAAGGTGGACGTTGAAGACCTTGGCTGTTTGAAAGGTGGCCAGCGAGTGGCATGGACACCATGGGGCACTCTTCTTGGCTGCGCGGGGGCGCTCACAGCTCCCCAGGCAGTCGGCCTGTGTCGGAAGCACAGCGGAAGCCCAGGTTGTCAGACGCTGAATCTGGAGTGTTGCCCATCCTGCCGCCAGAGAAGGGGAGAGAGTGAACATGTTGAGAAAGGGGCCTTGGGCTTTACCCAACTTTCCTGTTCTACCTCCCTGCTGCGGCCTGGGGGCGTGGCCAAGAGGGGAGGGCGTGGTCTGGAAAGAACCCTGGTCAGAGGGCAGTCCCCAGACAGGAAGTGGCCTTTGCACAGGACGGAAGAAGTGACTGGTGGTCCTGAGAGACTGAGCTGGGAGGCAGGAGAGGCCATGGCTAGTAACTGTGACTTTGGTAGTTGGGAGTAACTCAGCCAAAAAAAAAACACAAAAAAACACCTGTCGGCAATAAGTGAGATTATCACAGCGCCAATCAGTTCTCCATACTTTTCAAAGAAGTTTCACGTGAATTCCCTCCTTTGCCCTTTCCCAACTGCTCTGGAAGGCAGGATGTGTTCTCCATTTTAGAGGCCCAGGAGCAGATACCAGAAAGAGTTAAATGCCTTGCCCAAGGCGAATTACTGCTTCAACAGCACAACAGAATCAATGTCAAACCCAATTTCCTGGTTTCTAGGCCAGTATTTTTTCTACCACTTTGTCCTAAAAAAGAAAGTGAGGGAATTCAGGGGCCTTTGTGGATCAAAAAAACACCTGCAAATCTGATATCCTGAGTGGCCTCTACAGTCCTTGTGGAGCCAAAGAGTAGGAGAAGTTCCAGGGAGATCAACCAAAATAAAACTACAGGCAGACGAAGCAGGAAGTCCTAGGAGAGGACCAGGAGCCTGGGACTCTTCCATCCAGATGCCGCCACTAGCCACCTGTGTGAAATGAGCAGGTCCCAGGACCCTCCTGAGCCGTTTTAACTCGATGGCAAATCAAAATGGTTGTAGGAATGAGCTTCCATGTGCCCGCCTGTTTGAGGAGTCAATATTTCCATGACCCATGGCCCCTACTGATGCAGCCATTCTACTCCCCTCCCTCCGCACACCCGCTAACGAGGGCAAGAGGAGAAGCCCATGTAACTGAGATGCTGGACACAGAGCCTCTCTGGGTGCTGAGAGCTGAGAAGAACAGGCACGAGTTGTCCTGGGCTGTTCTGTTTTTCCCAGCAAGTGCTGCCTGCTTCCCTTCCGGTACCCCCATCTCCTGGCGGAAGCAGAGACGCAGAAGCAGTGCCAACCCCAGCTGGGGTGCCACCTGTGCTCTGGGAGGCCACCTCCAGCCCCTCAGCCCTCAGCTACCAAGCTCCTCACCTGGTGGTGACCCGGGCCCGGTGGTTGGCAGAGCCGTCGGACGTGTCGATCCAGGATGCCCCCCGGAGGACACGCATATCCTGGCTTGCGCCCTGGTATGGTGACGCTGTCCACTCCCACACGTTGCCCACGAGGTCGTAGAGGCCTGCAGCGCAGCCGTGGGTCAGCTCCCCGCTGGGAAGCAGCAGGCACACCTGCCAGCCGCCAAAGCCCTGGGAGCAAGCGCTGCCCGGGAGCTTCTCTCTGCCTCCCCCATCCGGCCCAACGCTCCCGCCAGCCGTGTGTGAGTGCGGATGGGGACCCGATGAGAACTCTTACCGTAGTTATTCTGCGGGGGGAACGCGTTCACTGGGGAGACCCCGTGGAAGCCGTCCTCAGCCTTGTCACCCTTGGGGAACTTCCCCTGAGGAGAGGAGGTTTAGGATAAAAGATTAGCTATCCTGTCCCATGGCAGGTGTTCCCGCCTGCCCACGGGAAAACCAAGGTCATCTGGAACAGGGGGAAGGGCACGTGGCAGTGACCCGAGGCTCCCATCCTGAGCTCCCAAACCAGCTGCCTCTGGTCCTCCACCACGACCTCCCGCCGGATCAGGAAGTGTGTGGTTTCCCTGTGCTCGCTGTGGTCCGTGTCAAGCCCATCCCACTCCACTGTCTCCATTCTCAGAGACTTCGTCCCCTCGGCCTCGAACCCCATGCTCGGAGCCTTGGGAAGAAAGGCTCTTCCCCTCCTTCTCCATGCCCTGCACCCTCCCTCCACCTTCTCAGGAGCCACCTCTTTCTCTTCCACCACCAACAGGTCTAACTCTGCCTCCTCTGCCCTCACTGTGCCTTTCTCATCTCTTCCTCTTAACCACCAAAACTCTTCAAAAAGTAACCTATATTTGCCAGTGCAATTTATTTCACTTGCTGACGCCTCTCATTAAAATTGGATTCAGCTGCCACGACTCTATGGAAATCGCTCTTATGAAAGGGAAGGTGAAGGGGCTATAATTAACTCAACAACTACTATGTGCTAGGGCTACTACACTTACGTCTTTTAATTTAATCCTTGCAAGGTTGTGAGGCAAGTGTCCTCTCCCTTTAAGAAACTAGCAGCTGAGGTTCAAAATGGTCAACTTATCAAATATCAAACAGTGTCTGTCATATTTCTCTTTTTGCAAAGCTGTGGTCCAGTCTGAAAGGTCCGGTCTCCCCCTCAGGCCCCTTTCAATGCTTCCCCCTAAAATACGGAGGCTGAGCCCCCCTCACTCCACAGGTCTCCTGGCCAGTGCGGGAGGGCGGGATCTATCTTTCCTAAGGTTCGTGCTTATGACGCGCAAGCTACCAGCTCTGACCCAGACTTCTGTCCTAAGTTTCAGGCTCATATTTTCAACCTCTGACTGAACATATAAAAGACCCAAAGGCATCCTAAGCTAAGCTGATCCTACACTGACCAAGTTCTATCCCTCTGACCCAACAAGCACATTATCTCTTTGGATAATGGTGGCACCATCACTCTGTTGCCCAAGCTTGGATGTAGGCTTGAGATCAACTCTCTTCCGCCCCGCCACATTCGATTAATTAGCAAACCGTGTCTATCTTCTCAGACATGCCTCTCCCTCCCATGGGGCTTCCTCTCCATCCCACTCCCACTTAATCCCAGTGTTTATAAGCATCTGGACACCCCCTGCCACCTCTGCAGCTCCACTCCATCTGGTCCTCACAGTCAGCCACCCCCAAGTCGACATCTGATGCTGTTATTCCCCTATAACAACCTCCCTCGGTTCCCCCTGCCCAGACGGTAAAATCTAAAACCCTATCTTGGCCGAAACCGGTTTGGCTCAATGGATAGAGCATCAGCCTGCGGACTGAAAGGTCCAGGGTTCGATTCCGGTCAAGGGCATGTACCTTGGTTGCGGGCACATCCCCAGTGGGGGGGTGCAGGAGGCAGCTGATCGATGATTCTCTCTCATTGATGTTTCTAACTCTCTATGCCTCTCTCTTCCTCTCTGTAAAAAATCAATAAAACATATATTAAAAATAAATAAATAAATAAAACTCTATCTTGGCGCATCTACTCCAAAATCTGCCTCCAACCCACTGTCTACCTCATCTCCTAACACTGCCCCCCCCTAGCCCCCACCATTTCCCTATGCTCCAGCCTCCCTGAATGTGACATGTTTCCAAACACACAGTACCCTCTCCTAATACAATGGCAACACTCATGCTGCTGACACACCCTTTCCTCCTCTTTTCACTTAAGCAAACTCCTATCAGATCAGCTCAAATGTCCCCTCTGCACTCTAGGCAATGAATGGTTTCCTCCCGCACGCACTCTGCACTACCGCCTGGCCTTCTGCTTCGCCCCTCTCCCAGCTTTGGGACACAGCCCTCTGAATCCCACACCGACCACAATGCCTAGCCGACAGCAGGCCTCGAAGCTCGGAGAAAGGGCAGGAGTGAGGAGTGGTGTCTTACCTGCCACAGGTTGGTGCGGTTTGGCTGGAACTTGTTCCCCCAGGGATAAGTCTGGCCTGCGGAAGGGCAAGGAGACTGCATTGGAGGAAAGGTGAAGAGTTGGGAAAGACAGAGAGAGCGAGGGAACCGAAAGGAGGTTATTTTAATAGCCTATGCCCATCCCTTCCACTCACGGCATTGCACTCAGAGCCCCGCCTCCTGCATTACCCCAGGGCAGTGCAACCCGAGGTGTGGTTCTGATCAATGCGTCTGTAAACCACCGGTGACCAGTGCATGTGGAGATCAGTGCAGAAATTGAGAGTAACCATTGAGAAACTTGTTCATTGGACTTTGATTGGCTAAACAAACAATCAACCTCATTCTCACATTAATAACTTTGACTACTGGTATAGCCAGCGATCATCCAGACTATAGAGGTGAAATATGGGACGTTGCTATTTCACTCTCATAACTTTTTTCAGTGAGCATTGCAGAACAACTAAGTTATGAGCAAAGAACAATTTTTTTTTATAATAACCCCAATACACCCATGGAAAAGGCATGTGATTTGGATAACTCTTCTCCTTTATGCTATGTTGATCTGATTGTATTTTTTTGAAACATGACATGTCTGTAGAATCTCCAACAAGTTAAAAAATTTTGGTTGTCTTTCATTCCATTTTTCCAGGTATTAGTTTCTATGGTATTTTACATACTATTGGGCTGAGATAGGTTAGAAATAAAAACAACAGCAGCTGGTCCTTCACCACACTCTCTAAGAAGCACTGCTCTAGGGAGCATAGACCCCTCCCACTCTTTAAAGACCCCCATGCAGGGCAGGATGGAGAGAGGAACGAAGGGGCATCGCCTTGGGGTCTCCGTACCCTGTAAGCCCCCTCGGGCAGCAAACTCCCACTCTTCCTCAGTGGGCAGCCGTTTCCCCTGCCACGCACAGTAGGCCCGCGCGTCATTCCAGCTCACGTGTACCACGGGGAGCTCCAGTCTCTCTCGGATGCCGGAGCCGGGACCTGCAGGCTGGCAGCCAGGAGGAAACGAGACAGGCTCTGGGGGCTCGGGGAAGTCTGAGGAAGGCTAGGCTTAGGGGACCTACGTTCCGCCTTTAACACTAGGGGAAGCAAAGAAATTGGAAGAGAGCTTGGTGAGCAAGGAGAGGTCCAGAATGAAGAGACTACACATGAGATGGACAAGAAAAATGGGATGGGTGATGGGAAGAGGACTAGGAAACAGGGTTTCTTGGCTGTTTTCCCGAAACATCTCCTTTTTAACTCAGTATTCCAAGATGGGCAAGGGGTCTAGGGCAGCCAGCCCTCCAGGGGTAGAAAACAAGGTGGAGGAACCAGCCCTTACCTGCCTCCAGAACGCCCTTTCCACTGGAAGCCACCAGAGAACAGGCTACAAAGAAGAAGGAGCATGACTGAAAACAGGAGCATGACTGCGAGATGCTCGGACCCACCACGGGAACCTTCCTGACTGACACACAGGAGGCCGAGCAGACCCTTTGGGCCGAGATTCAAGGCATCCGAGTGAGGCTGTGTCTGGGATCTCTGAAGCGACATCTCACAGCCCTCGTTAGGGGGAGGCTTGTCAGACTCCTGCAGGATGTATCTTGAGCCCCATATATATCTATCTGGATCTTTACAGACTCTCCACTCAGAAACCAGCTCAGGGCTCACTTCCTGGGCGTGAGTATTCACCTGACCGTCCCAGGGAGGGCTGCTCTCGCTTCCTCCCTGCCTCCCGCTCTCAGGTCTGATGTCTACCGTGGCCCCGGTGACCCGCGCCCCACAGGCTGCTATTGTCAGGTCCCACCCCCCTTCCCTCAACTCCAAGCCCGGGTTCTCTCACCTTCATCTGCTGAGTCGCTTTGCTTCTAAGCTCCTCAGAGACAAAGTCCTCAAAGACAAAGCTCCACCCAAATGTCTCGGCCTCTGTCCGGTACTTTTTCTCCCTGACGAACTCCCTGGAAAGAGAGATTTCGCTGGGCTCAGCTGACAGGGTTCCGTGCTCCACCCTCCCCTCTCCTGCTTCAGAAGAGCTCACCTAGCCTCATCCTGTAAGCCCCACATCACAGAGGTCCCATGGACTCCAAGGAGCTCACTGAAACCCCCCTGAGCAGCAGATTTTCTTTTAAAATCTGTGGCTGTGCGTGTAATTCACCTACAGTAAGGATTCAGTCCTTGTAGGGTATGCTTTTGTGACTGTGACAACGCAGACTGTCACCACCACAATCAAGAACCAGAGCAACCAACCAGATCTGAAATAGCATGGCTGACATGTACACATAAGGAACTGTTTGACATTGAAATTGGGACTCAAAAGAACTGTTGGCCCAGAAAGGAACTCACTACAGACTGATTCATTTGCCTCTCAGCATAACCATTATGGCTTGTCTCAGTTTCGGTTCTTACAAGGGTATTTCTTGGATCACATGATCTTACACATTTAGGGGAAATAATGAACAATATAAACTGATGAACAAAAACAGACCCAGAGAAAGAGAAGCAGCGATCAGACTGTCAAACCTCAGAGGGAAGATAGGGGAGGATGGGGGTAATGGGGAGAGTTCAACCAAAGGACTTGTGTGCATGCATATGGGCCTAGCCAGTGGCCATGGACAACAGGGGGTGGGGGCATATGTGGGGAGGGATTTGGGATGGGAATGGGGAGATGAGGACAATTATGTGATACCATAATCAATAAAATTTTTAAAAATTTATATATATATATATATATATATATAGAGAGAGAGAGAGAGAGAGAGAGAAAGAGAGAGAGAGAGAGAGAGAACCAGAGCAGTTCCATCAAACATACCCCCAAATTCCTCGGGGCCCCTGTTTTTTGTCCCTATGGTTTTGCCTTTCCTGGAATATATACTTTCACATAAATGGAACTACACAGGATGTAGTTTTTGGGTCTGGCTTCTTTCACTTAGCCTAATGCTTCTGAGCTTCATCCATGTTGTCAAAGGTATCCGTAGTTTGTTCCTTTTTTTAAAATTTATTTATTTATTAAATTATTATCTGTGTACATATTTTAACATTGCCCCCCCACCCCCGCACATATATACCTTCCCTCCCCAGAGTTTTGTGTCCATTGGTTGTACTTATATGCATGTATACAAGTCCTTCGGTTGATCTCTTATTTCCCCCAGATCTCCCTACTCTCCCCGTAGTTTGTTCCTTTTTATTGCTGAGTAGTATTCTATTGCATGGAGGTACCATATTTGGTTTACTCACTCACCAACTGCAGGTCATGTGGGTTTTTTAGAGATTATAAATAAAGCTGCTGAGTAGATTTAAGGGTGGGGCATGATTTCCTTTCTGAAAGGTCTGTCTTTCTTACATAATTTCATGAGAGGGGGAGGCAGAACAGATGTTATCATCTCCATCTAACAGAATAAAGAAACTGATTCAAATAAAAATGAGTTGCTGAGAAAACAAAAACAAAAGAAAAAAACTGAGTTGCTGAGATTTGAGATTATATTTTCATATAGCTCGGTGTGGTTTGGCAAATCTCAGCACACAGATTACTAACGTGAGATGGATGGTTTTTATTATCACCTCGTCTGTGCCTTGTCTGATAATAAGAAGGTTTTATTCACCCATCAGAGGGGCACTGAGAATAGAGGAGCTGATCAGATTTGGTAGCAATAGCTATTTTCCAGCCTCAGATCATCTGAACAGTCTGAGATTCTTTTACCAGAGAGGCAGGCGAAGTCGGGTTCTAAGCAAAGTTTGGGAGCTCAAGTTTGAGGTGACATTATATCGATATTTCTACCACTACATATTCTAGGTCATAATTTGAAATCTAAAAGGTGCATACTGTGCAGCTATCTATTCTGGGTTGTCATGATATGGTACAAGTCTGATCAGAAGTGATTTCTCCTTTAATTTTAACAACTTTCTTGTTTAAAATATGTTTTAAAAGTACGTATAAGCACCCTAACTGATTTGGCTTAGTGGATAGAGCATCGGTCTGTGGACTGAAGGGTCCCAGGTTCGATTCTGGTCAAGGGCACATGCCTGAGTGTGGGCTCCATCCCCAGTGGGGGGCATGCAGGAGGCAGCCGATCAAGGATTCTCTCTCATCACTGATGTTTCTCTCTCTCACTCCCTTCCTCTCTGAAAAAAAGAAAATTAATAAAAGCACATATAAGTAGTACACGTGGTATTGTAGAAAAATGGGAAAATACAAAAAAATGAGAAATTTTTAAAAAATTAAAATCATCCATTATCACACCAACTAACATATATCATTCCATATTATTCCTGGCCTCCACTCCCCAACTCTCCCATCCCATTTGACTAGATGCTTCCCTGTAATTATTGTCATTTGAAAGTCACAAAAACATGAGCAAAATCTGTTAACTAATGCACTTCCACTTTTCTAATACATCTACATTCTATATACAGAGTTTTTAAAAAATTGGGATCATAAGCTATATATTATTTTGTAAGCTACTTTCTTCATTTAACATCTCATAACTCTATTTTTTATTTTTTTAAAAATATATTTTATTGATTTTTAACAGAGAGAAAGGGAGAGAGATAGAGCTAGAAACATCAGTGAGAGAGAAACATCGACCAGCTGCCTCTTGCACACCCCCTACCGGGGATGTGCCCGCAACCAAGGTACATGCCCTTGACTGGAATCGAACCCGGGACCTTTCAGTACACAGACTGACGCTCTACCACTGAGCCAAACCGACTTCGGCTCATAACTCTCTTTAAATATATATATTTTAATTATATTTTTATTGGTTTCAGATAGGAAGGTAGAGGGGTAGAGAGATAGAAACATCAATGAAAGATGAGAAAGAAACATTGATCAGCTGCCTCCTGCATGCCCCCTGCTGGGGGTGGAGCCTAAACCCGGGTATGTGTCCTGGGAATTGAACCGAGACCTCCTGGTTCATGGGCCAACACTCAACCACTGAGCCATACTGGTTGGGCTCATAATTCTCTTTTTGACTATAGGATTTTAAATGGCTGCTAAGTATCATTATATTGATACAATATGCTTACATAATTCTTAAATTGTTAATAGTTGTTTACAATGCCATCATTTTAGCTAAATGTTTTTGGACAACTTAAATTCTTTCCTTCAGACAAATCCCTAGAGGTGGGATCACTGAGTCAAAGAGCCTGAGGAATATACCAACAATCCAATGCTTATTTCAGTGTGTCTCCTGAATCCATTTTCCCCCATAATCTTTTATCTTGAAAAGTTTTAACTCGACCAAATGTAACATTTAAGTCATTTCCTACGTTTGCTGTTTGCTTTATTATCTTCCCAGTCCCTCTCTTTCCTCCATCCTCTCTATATAATCACCCCTGTACTATTTTTTTAAATACATCTTTTGTAAAAATGTGCTTTTACTGACTTTAGAGGCCCCGGAAAGGAGAGAGGAAGGAAAGGAGGGAGGGAGAAAGGGAGGAAGGAAGGAAGAAATATCGATGTGAGAAAGAAACATAAATTAGCTGCCTCCTGCATACACCCTGACCGGGGATCAAACCCCCAACTTGGGTATGTGCCCTGACAGGGAATTGAACCAGTGACCATTGGTGTACGGGACAACACTCAACCAACAGAGCCACACCAACAAGGGCATATACCTAAGGTAAGTTACAAAACATATCATCTTGAGGCGTTTCAACTTGGCTTCTTAGAATGAGTTAGAACCACAATGTTTGACTCCTAAAAAACACCATTTCCCAAAGTACTAGTAAACATAAAGGGAATGTAAGGCACTTTGCTAGTACGACCCTTCTCCCAATCCCTTCTTCCCTGATGAAGAGATTTATTTTTTTTTTTTATTTTTTTAAATTAAATTATTATCTGTGTACATATACCATTGCCCCCACACACATGCCCTCCCTCCCCAGAGTTTTGGGTTGATGAAGAGATTTCTGCAGAGTGTGTCACTTTTGTTCATAATTCTAGTGCTCTGCCCGGTGCAATGGAAAATCCACTGGCTCAAGAATCAGGGAATTTGAGTTACAGGCTCAAGTCTGCCACTAACAGAAAGTAAGGTAAACATTTTTAGACTTCAGATTCTTTCATTGAGAAAAAAGTAGATACACTTACCCCACAATATTATTGCAAAGATATGTAATAGTGAACAAGCCAGTTTCCTTCTAGAAATTAAGAATGAAGATTTGAGCCCAGCCTGTGTGACTCAGTGGTTGAGCATCGATCCATGCACCAAGAGGTCACTAGTTCTATTCCCAGTCAGGGCACATGCCCAGGCCATGGGCTTGATCCCCCATGAGGGGCATACAGAAGGCAGCTAATCGATATTGATGTTTTTCTCTCATTAATATTTCTATCTCTCCTTCTCCTTTCCTCTCTAAAATCAACAAAAACATATTAAAAATAAATAAAATAAACGTATGAATTTTTTTTTAAAAAAAGAATAATTTAAAAGAGCCTTTACTCCTCCTGAAAGAATACCTGATATACCTGAAATCTTTGTTGGTGACAGGAAATATGTCGATGGCAAAAGGTTTTACTGTCACCTCTCGGACAGGTCCTTCACCATCTCTGCCATCTGGTGAATTTGTTCCCATCTGGAATCTCCCGCCTGGTAGCTGAACCATGCTTGTCACCTGGCCATTCCCTGCAGAGGAAAAAGAGTGTCATCAGTAATACATGAGTATGTAAAAAATAAGTGGCAATATTTGGATCATAGGTAATACTCATAAAACTGAGTGTTTTTTGTAAGGGGGCTTTAAAAAAAAATGTAGGCTTAAAATTTTGGCTTTAAATCCTTGTTCTGGCCCTAGCTGGTTTGGCTCAGTGGATAGAGTTCTGGCCCTTAGAATGAAGGGTTCCGGGTTTGGTCAAAGGCACATACCTTGGCTGCAGCCTCGAACACTGGCCCAGGTCAGGGTGCATGTGGGAGGCAATCATTCAATGTCTCAAGTTGATGCTTCCCTCTCTCTATCTCTCCTCCTCCCTTCCACGTTCTCTAAAAGTCAATGGGAAAAACATCCTTGTGCCCTACCAGGTTTGGCTCAGTGAACAGAGCACTGGTCTGAGGACTGAAGGGTGGCCCGTGAACTGAAATGTCCCAGATTCAATTCCAGTCAAGGGTGCTTGCCTGGGTTACGGGCTCAGTTCCCAATAGGGGGTGTGCAGGAGGCAGCCAATCAATGATTCTCTCTCATCATTGATGTTTCTATCTCTCCCTCTCCCTTCCTCTCTGAAATCAATGAAAATATATTTGGGGGGGGGGGGGGAAAGACATCCTCAGGTGAGGATTAACAACAACAAAAAAAAACCCATGCAATAAATTCCTGTTCTGCCACTTAATTTGCTGGGTGACCTTAGGCAAATTACTTAATCTGAGTTTCAATTTCTTCATTTATAATAGGCATAGTTGCATGAATTCAAATAATGTAAAACACTGAGCACATGGTAGGTTTTCAACAAATGTTTATTTTCTTATCTTTCTATTCCTCTACACAAACCCCCTGTCCCAGCTAGGTAAATCTAGACACTATACCCTAAAATTATCTAGCACCTTTCTACCTATACTTCTGGTCATGCTGTTTTTCGCTGTCTTCCTTTCCACTTGTTGAACTGTTATCAGTTCTGACCATTATATCACGTAGTCCAGAAAAGAAAGGACTACCTCTATTTTGCCATTGTATCCCTGGCCCCTAGCACAAGTGCACAATAATTATTATAAAATAATTGGATGAACTCCTTCATATTTGCTGTTTGTATGCCTCAAAAAGGATTAAAAGGATCCTTAATTTGACCCCCTTATTTAACAGGAGGGAAATCAGGACCTAAAGAAGAAATGAGGCAAGCAGGAAAATCTCAGAATAAAAGGGAATTAAGAAAACAACATATAATTGCAATGCATAAAATGTATTTTGACACTAATTCAAGAAGTAAACTATAATTAAAAAACACAGTAGGTAAATCTGAACACTAACTGAATGTTAATTTTGCAGGCAGAAAATGCTATGTTTTGTGTGTTTTGTGTGCTTGTGTTTTTGGCTATTCAAGCTGAGTTATGAATAAAATTGTATAATGCCTGCAATCACTTCAGCATGATCCCAGGAGAGGGGAAAGTGGGTTACCAAAGAAGCAAGATTAGCCATAATTTGGCAACTGTTAAACTGGGTGATGGGTACATAAGGGTCACATTTATTTTAAAAAAATATATTTTATTGATTTTGTACAGAGAGGAAGGGAGAGAGAGATAGTTAGAAACATCAATCAGCTGCCTCTTGCATCCCCCCACTGGGGATATGCCCGCAACCAAGGTACATGCCCTTGACCGGAATCGAACCCGGGACCCTTCAGTCCCCAAGCCGATGTTCTATCCATTGAGCCAAACCGGTCCCGGCAGTAAGGGGCACATTTAGTTATAATTTGTTCTTTTACTTTATGCTTGAAAGATTCCAAAATAGTAAGTTAAAAGTAAAAAGGAAGTCAAATACAGTAATGAGCTGTTATTAGCCTCGCTGGGCTGGCTGTCTCTGGGATGTGCCTCAGGCTGCTCCAAGCAGACTAGGGATAGGCAGCGTGCAGAGGGCTCCGGTCTCCCCCACGGGGGCAAAGCGCCCCACCCCGCCTGGTAACCCCTGGGACAGAGGCGCTAGGGCTAATGGGCAGGCCAGCACACTGACCTAGCTCGATCCACGGGCCGGACAGGAGCGACAGCAGGGACAGCAGCAGCAGTGAGGACCTCATAGCACCGCACCAGGAACTGGGCACACACCGTGACTCTGCTGCGCATGCGCTGCACACGCACTACGTCCCGGCCCACACTGCCCCCTAGCGCATGCTCTAGACATTGTCAACCACAGGGCGTAATTAAGTCCAGAAGCCGGGGAAGGGGTGGGTGGGATCAGGTTAAGAAAAAGCAATTTTCTCAGGGTTAGTGTGAAGAGGCCTTATCACTTCAGAATCCCATTCATGATCCTGTGAACATTTGTATTAACTTCCTTCCCTTTTATATTCAACCCCTTTTGTGCCTTGGAATACCAATGCAAGATGACAGAAAAGGTTTCAAGTTAAATATTTATTGCACACTGTAGCCAAGTCCTCAAAATACAAAACTTAGCAACACAATTTCACCTTCAAGGACTGTACAATTATACCACCTGACCAGTATAAAAAACAATTTTTTTGAAAACACAAATAACTTGAGGGAGGGAAAATGACACGATGTTTTGGGATGGTTATTTCAGTGTAAGTAAAGGCCAGGGTGTGAAAATACAGTATGGTCTACCTGAACTCAACTAAGCCTGTCATCATTATTTCAAGCCTCTTCACACCTGTCTCCTCTATTTTAATTTTGCCATTTTACAAATGTGCAGCTCTTTCAACTCCCTTGCCTCTAGTTCACCCATCTTTCTACCCACTCCCACTTAACTTTCCTGGGAGCATTTTAGCAAAGTTACTTCAAAGCATGAAATGTCCCACTAAAAGATCCAATCATTTTACTCACAGCAATTGATACTAAATAAACAGCGATGCTTTCAAAATCTTGTTACTTAAATGTTATTAGCATAAAATTTTAATCTTAAATGCTCACTAGGGAATTACTGGATAAATTAAAATACATCATTAGAAGAAATTATTAAACAACCAAATTTGTTTTTCAAGGAATATTTAATAAGGTAGATACCATATGCTTTTCTAATATGTTTTTTTAGTATCACAGAAATTAAAGCAAAAATATTCTGTGCACATTGGGTGAAAACAGCCTGCTAGTTGTGCATACACTGAGTACAATTTAAAAAATAGCGTAAATTATAATTTCAAAGTTTGGAATTTTAATAGGTGGTTTGCCATTGCTCTCTGCTTTCTTCAGATGGGGAAGAAAAAAAATTCCTTTAAAAATCATTTGAAGCCAGGACAAAAATTCCATGGCTGTATCCTTAGGATCACTCCGTAGTCTTCATGATTCAGGTAGTACAGGGGAAGCTTCAATTCAGCCTTTTAGAGAAGACATTCCAGCTCGCATGATCTCATCAACCAGGAGTATGTTGGTGGCAATCACAGTGCTGCAAGGGGGGGAAAGTCAGATGGTTCAGATTTCAGATATAGAATCCTAATTCAACTCAATTTCCAACTAAATCATGCAAATTACATCCAATTAAATGTCCCTCTCCCCCTCCATACATAAAAAGTTTCATTTCTGCACTTTTTTTTTTTTATATTTTGATGAGGGTGAGGGTAATTAAACAGAATATGCCAAATAAAAAGAATATGATGATTACCTAAAGGTTATTTTATATTTTAGTTTTGGCTTTCTCAAACTTACCAGGAGTGAAGAAGCTGTTTCTTTACACAATAGTTATCCCATACGCCCACTTCTGCTGCTACCATTGGCTCACCTGAAAAGTAATCCAGTAGTCTTAAAATCACATATAGGTCATAAGATCAGAATGATCTTATTATTCCCGTGCACAATATCTTTGATTACTGACTTATCTTTGATAAGTGACTGATCTCTGATTAGATATTGTCTATTCCGTTAACCAAATACTTGAACATCTTGTTTTTCTGGACACATCTATCCATATTAAATTACAGCACTTGAACTATAATCTGGTCAAAAAGGGCTTATCATTTTCCTCATTCCAAAAGCCCTTTTTATTAAATATAAACAATGTTGTTGATAACAGATCTTACGTACTGATGGGATCTCAGTTCTCTCTTCCACTTTGTACCTACATAATTTGTGCTCTTACACTAGTCTTAAGATCAGGGCTTTAAATATTTCATTATATTTGGTCCCCTTTTCCAGCATTATTTGTTACCCTCAACCTTTTTTCATCAGTGAATATGATCATCTATATTTCCATATCATAGTCCCTGATAAATTGAGTAAACCCAATATGAAGCTTTTCAATATTAAACTGAACCATCTGCCACCACTCAGCAACATCAACAAATCCATACTCTTTAAAACTATTCAAATGTATATATTTGATTCCCTTACTGTACCTAGTCATTCTGTTTTTATATTATATTTTAGAACCCAGAGTTCACTGATAGGACTAATAATAAACTGCAAAGCAACTCTCTAAGATTCTTTTGATTCTTCCTGGCTTTACCTCACCTATATTAACAAGTTTCCCCCTACAAATAGTTGCATTCTCTCTTTTTAAAAATATATTTTATTTTTTACAGAGAGGAAGGGAGAAGGATAGAGAGGTAGAAACATCAATGAGAGAGAAACATTGATCAGCTGCCTCCCGCACACCCCCCACTGGGGATGTGCCCAAAACCAATGTACGTGCTCTTGACTGGAATTGAACACGGGACCCTTTAGTCCACAGGGCGACGCTCTATCCACTGAGTCAAACCGGTTTCAGCTAGTTGCATTCTCTTACCTGTGTTCAAGTCCACACCCACAAGTTGACCTGATTCCGAATGTTCTGCTTGAACTTTAACTAGTGTTTCCTGAAGATCAAAACCAGAATTCTGAGCAAGAACCTAAAGGAAAACAAATTTAATCCTTTTAAAAACAGGACCTAAGAACTGACAGTCAGTGCACAATAAATAAATAGTATATCCATTAATGATCAATAGAAAATTATTATATCAATTGTAGTTTAAACAAAAAGCAAGTTTGCACTCAAGTATATCCCCTACACACTGCAAACCCTCTTAAAATAGTTATCTCTTGCCACCTGAAACTTCAGATATTCAAGTTTCCTTTCCAGGGAAACCAAATACGTTTGGATGTTCTAGTGTTAGGGAGAAAACGGATCAAACTTACTCAAAATCCACATTATGAAAAAAAAACAAACCCATTATCAAAACACTTTCACATTCACCAGCTGAAATCATTTTGTTCCACTTTAGAAAAAGGACTATTACAATAGTCAGACCTTGGGAATAATGAGCAATGCGTCAGCAAACGCTTGAACTCCAAGCTGGGCCCTGCCCTTTATGCTGGGCTTGTATTTCACGAGGGCGTGTGACATTGCCACTTCCACTGCACCACCACCTGGAACCACACAGCCTGTTGGATGGTGGGGAAGGAAGGGGAAGAGAGAAAATGCTCAGCTATAAAGAAAACTGTGGAATTATAAAACAAAGTAAAATACACATACATGGCCCTGGCCAGTTTGGCTCAATGGATAGAGTATCTGCCTGCGGACTGAAGGGTCCCAGATTTGATTCCAGCCAAGGGCATGTGCCCAGGTGGCAGTTTCAATCCCCAGTGGGGGGCATGCAGGAGGCAGTTATCTCATCACTGATGTTTCTATCTCTCTCCCTCTTCCTCTATGAAATCAATAAAAAAAATTTAAAATAACACATGAAAACCATTAATTTCTTGAAAATTCAGTGTAATGACAGCAATTTTAATATTGCATTTGAAAGCAACATATCAAATAATATGATCTGATTTAACTGGCACTTGGAAGCTCTTACAATCTCTATTTTATATATATATATATATATATATATATATATATATATATATATATATATATATATATATTTTTTTTTTTTTTTTTTTTTTTTTCCTACAGAGGGAACGAAGAGGGATAATTATAAACACTGATGACAGAGAAACATCAATCAGCTGCCCTCTGCACACCCCCCACTGGGGACGTGCCCACAACCAAGGTACAATGCCCTTGACTGGAATCAAAACTGAGAGTTTATACTTTATCCACTGAGCCAAACCAGTCAGGGCATCTCTTACAATCTCTTAACTCATTTATTTGTATCCACTTTTAGTAATGATATGCTATGAAAAACTTGGCATACCATCATAGCCATTTTAAAGGGAAGATTACTTTTGCATGGTGTCTGGCTGTGTAAGCTACTGACAAAAAGAACACAGTATTCAGCCATGCCTTAGAGAACAGCAAAAAGAATGCAACTGAAATAAAGTGAGAATCTTACCATCATCAATAGCGTTTTTAACAGCCCTCAAGCCATCTCTTATTGCATCTTTGATTTGAGTGAGTGTGTGCTTATTTGGTCCTTTGACCAATAATGTAACTGAGCGAGGATTGTTACATTTCTCAACGAAGGTGAACTTCTCTTCTCCCTATGTAAAGAGAATATTTTCAAAAAAACAAGACAGTTGTACAAAGAATGATCAGAGAAAAAATGGTAAATGGCATATTCACAGAAAACACACTGATCACATTAAAGTAATTTCTTAAAAACAAACAAAACACATGTAAGAGAAATGTGACTTCCCCACCAAAGGAGCATCACTGTTACACCTGGACCATCAAACTGTGTGTGAACAAAGCATAAATCTGATCCCAAGTTTGAATGAGTTTTTACTACTGAAGAATTCATGAACCAAAAAGTATTACCTTTGGAAAGAAAATATACTTACCAATGTATACTCATAGACAAGTCCTGCATGTCCCAAACAATCAGGACTTAGGTCCTCAAAAGAATTTAGAGCTACTCCACCACAAGCAAGAGTCAGCCTGAAATATTGAAGTATTTTAAAAGGAGATGTAAGTAATTTTTAATAGTTATGCTTAAAGATTATTTTTAGGAAGCAATCTTTCAGAATGACAACTAAAATTATATTCTAAAATGTATTTAACTTGTCCATTTACTACCAACTGGCTAAAAACTGGTCTTTTCCTAACTCTCCATTTAAACCACTTTTCCCAAGTCATCAAATACTTCTCTGATATGATTTTTAAAGATATACAAAAGCTTTCTCGTATTTCTCTGAAACCCTGGGATGCTGTCTCCTGAAATGGAAATCTATGTACACGATGTGCCATTGTTTAAAAATAAAACAAGTATAGCCCAGCAGGTGTGGCTATGTGGTTGAACATCAAGCCAGGCACCAAGAGGTCACCAGGTCAGGGCACAAGCCAGGGTTCCAGGCTCAACCCCCAGCAAGGGAATGTAGGAGGCAGGAGGCAGCTGATCTATGTTGATACTTCAATGTTCCTACCTCTCCTTCTCCCATCCTCTCTAAAATCAATAAAAACCTATTTTTAAAATAAAAGAAGTATAAACTAATGTTCATAGTGGCATTATTCATCATAGCCAAAAGGTAGAAACCCAAATGTCTCCTGATAGGTAAATAGATAAATAAGGATATGATATTATCCATACAATGGGACATTTGTCCTTAAATAGGAATTTCGATACATTATTACAACCTGGATGAATCTTGCAAACATTGGGCTTAATGAAATAAACAAGACACAAAAGGGCAATTATTGTATGATTCCGTTATATGTGGTACCAAATTCAGAGACAAACAGAACAGTATTTACAGGGGAAGCAGTGAAGGAAGAAATGGAGAATTACTGCTTAATGGGTAGTTTCAGTTTGCAATGCTGAAAAAATTCTGAAAATGGGTAATGGTGGTGGGTGCACAACAATGTGAATATAATTTATTGCCACTAAATTTTTTACACGTAAAAAAAAGGGGGGGAAATGGGCCTTGACTGGGTAGGCTCTGTGGATTGAGTGTCAGCCTGCGGACTGAAGGTTCCCGGGTTTGATTCCGGTCAAGGGCATGTACATTTGTTGTGGGCACATCCCCAGGGTGTGTGTGTGTGTGTGTGTGTGTGTGTGTGTGTGTGTGTGTGTGTGTGTGTGTGTGTGTGTGTGTAGGAGGCAGCTGATCGATGTTTCTCTCTCATCAATGTTTCTGACTCTCTATCCCTCTCCCTTCCTCTTTGTAAAAAAATCAATAAAATATATTTTTTTAAAAAGGGGGGAATGGTCTATTTTGTATTATGTGTATTTTATCAAAAGAAAAAGCAAAAATAAGTCGAGGGGGGAAAAAGAATCATCTCAGTTAATGCACAGATTCATATCACTCAGATGAACTATCCACCATACCTTTCCATATTTCTTTTTTTCGCTCTGCGCAGAGCTACTATGCCTTCTTTTGCAAGAGCATCTAAGGAAAATGGGTCAATTCCCTGTTAACAACAACAACAAATTAGTTTTACTATATTTCACCTGAAAAATCAAAATGGCTACAGACTAGTTTATAAAGCAAAAGTCATTCTCACCTTTTGATTAATAACAACAAAACCTTTATTTGAGTCACCACAGACTTTCTTTTTCAGGTCTATTATTTTTTTAACTCTATCTTCAATGAATTTTCTTTCAGCTCTTACTAGTTTCTCCCTCTCTTCTGCACTCTTGTAAAAAAAGCCAGAATTCACTTCTCTATTAAAAATAAAAGTGGGGGGGGTGGGGGTGGGTGGTGTGTTAGAATGTTTGTTTTATTTAACAAATAGCCTGTTAATTCTGATCTGCCCCTAGTTTATTATGAGTTTATTCCTAGAATTCTCCCAAACCCAATTTGAGGCATTGTCTATACAGTGAAGAAACTGAGTCTCACAAAGAAGTGACTTGCCCAAAATACCAAGCTTCCCTGCTTCTCGATTCCATTTGTAAGAAAATATAAACTCACGTTTTTTCATATTCTAATGACACATTGCATGTAAGGATATATGCATCTTCTACTCTTTTTTTCATATCTGGATGCCGTGCCCCATGGTCCAAAACAAGACCTCTGATTAAGCTGTAAAAATATATTAAAAATTATGGTATATACAAACATTTAATTACTATGTTACATAACTGAAGCTAATATTGTCTGTTAACTATAACTCAGAAATAAATTTAAAAAACACATTATATTGTTATTGACTTTCAGCCCAGCCTGTGTGGCTCAGTGGTTGAGCATTGACCCATGAACTGGGAGATCATCAGTTTTATTCCAGGTCAAGGTTGCAGACTCGATACCTTGTAGGGGGTGTGCAAAAGGCAGCCAATCAATGTTTCTCGCACATCAATGTTTCTATCTCTCTATCCCTGTCCCTTCCTCTCTAAAATAAACAACATATTTTAAAAACATTTCTTATAATATCTAATTATTTTAAAAATGTTTTCAAGCTAGATCTTTGAAATATATAATTCTCCCATTAGGTTTTGTATCCAGCAGTTCAATAAATGCCAAACAACCGATGTAGCTCACTTTTCTGAATCATTCTGACTATAAACACATTATACCATTAACTTCAAGAGTAAATATTACTGAGTAAATTAAATATTCATCTAGGCAATATATATTAATTCAAACACACACAAAAGTCAGCCAAAATAAAAATGTGTTGTATAAAGCGCCTATATGTACACACAACACACTTCATAAGCATTTCACAGCAATCTACCACCTACCTTGTATCAGTTTCAGATTTATGTTTCATTTCCATGATCTCAACCATGAAGAGGTCAATAGGTTCATCTTGTTTTTTAATGGCCAAAATGGAATCAACTACAGCCTACAATAAGAGCATAATCATTAAATGAATTTGATTTGCAGAAGTCAAGATGCTTGTTACTTGTTCTACAAAATTTAGACAGTTTCTTGACTTTAACATTCTTCAAATTGACCTACTAGAATACATTTGCAAAGGGCTGAAGTCATTTATATTTCTGAAAATTAAATTTTGTCATTACCTAAAGAATCAGACATCCCTCCTACTATTTTATTAACATTGTTAACAGTAAGGGCATGTACATTTTAAATAACAAAGTCTCCAATTATAAAACTTTTAATGAAAGCTCTGATTATAACCTGGTCAAGTATTTGATTATTTGAATTTCTCACTTTACTTTTTGAAGGACACAGATCACATTATCTCTGCCACAGAATGAACCCACTTTGTCACGTATGAAGACATCAGAGACAATCTATAATGAAATTGGTAAGTATACTGGTGGTTCTAAATCAGGGGCTTTTAATTCAACACATACCTCTGTTAAGACATCAGCAAGTTCCGCATGAACTTTAGTACGCAGAGATGTTCTGGCCACATCGATGAGTGTTTCCCTGTCCATCTCTTTGCTTACTTTTACTTGTTCCAAAAACTGAAGTGCCTTTTCCTTTGCAGCTTCAAATCCTTCTGTTATTATTCTGGGATGAAGACCCTATAATGAAGACAATTACAAAACCACCACTAACCCTGGAGTTCTCCAATTAGATGCCATTATGTTCACGATAAAGTATATTTTTAAAGATTTATTCTGGGTCATTCCTATCCTTTAATAAAATATAATGTGCTGACTTTATGAATACATTTAAAAGGATGAACAGTCCTTTCAATGCAGAGGAAAAGAACAGACATTGCTCTAGCACAGAGTCAAAGCCAAGGGAACTATAAAGCACACTTGGGTGTTCACTGTGCAAACCGCAAGGAATAGCAACAAAAACTCACTATGTCACAACCTGCAGTCAACAGACCACTGCATCTTCCCTACAGGTAATCTGAAATAAATTCACATCATTTACTGATAAAAGTAGACAAGGTGACTAAATGACTGCTTTCTGTCTTCCCAGGAAGTTCTTCCTAACATCTGATTAGTATTCATTGAGGTTTGCTTTAATCTTGGAACTAACTACTCAGGGCTAAAAAAGATGCAGAATTTTTATTTAAGTTTTTGGTTGGCTTTTTCCTTACAAGTAGTCCTGAACATGCCATTTTTAGATCTCAATTATTAACCTACATTGTAGACAGATATGATATCCTGTTTCCCCGAAAATAAGACAGTGTCTTATATTAATTTTTTCTCCCAAAGTTGCGCTAGGTCTTATTTTCAGGGGATGTCTTTTCTTTCCATGTGCTAGGTCTTGTTTTCGGAGGATGTCTTATTTTCGGGGAAACACAGTATATGCAATGCAACTTCATTAAAAAAAAAAACCTTTCAGGCCAAGGAAGGTTTCTTAACTTGTCCAGGATCACAATAAATTTGTGTCAGACCAAGATGAAGTCTCTGGTTTCCAGACCTAAGCCCCCTTGCTCTTTACATTCTGCTATGGCCTCCGCTACTATTAATGCATCAGTTTGTAGAAATAAAACCCAGGTTATTTCTTACACATAACAAAATATCACAAAAACACAAGAATCATGTATACTTCAGAAATGTAGAGATCCGCCTGTTTCAGCAGTTCTCCAATGATTAGGACGTTGGACGTGGTACCGTCGCCAGTTATGTCATCCTGGGCTGTCGCGACTTTGGCTATTAGGGAGGCTGTTGGGTGTTGAATTTGCTGGAAGTAAAAAAGAAAGCATTAAGTTACTTAAAACAATCCAAATATACCTTAAAATGTGCAAAAGGCCTCCTTAAGGGTTATGTACACAAACCACCCAAGGGTTCAGCTACACATTACTACTTATTCTGCACTGTCAGTTTCTGACAACTAAAACATTTTCCCATATAAATCTGTTTACTTCTCAAGATCATCTCTAATGTCCTGGTAAGGAACTTTGAGGCTCAGTTAAAGTTTACTCAAAGCGATAGAGCGAACAAGTACAGGACCTAGTAATTTCAAACCCCCATGCAAGCCTCTTTGTGACAAAGCTAGGACTCTTGTGCCTTCTCCAGGATTCCTTGACACTATCCAAATAATTAACATCCAGTGGTCGGCAAACTCATTAGTCAACAGAGCCAAATACCAACAGTATAACAATTGAAATTTCTTTTGAGAGCCGAATTTTTCAAACTTAAAACTTCTAATGCCGCTTCTTCAAAATTGACTCGCCCGGGCCATGGTATTTTGTGGAAGAGCCACACTCACGGGGCCAAAGAGCCGCATGTGGCTCGCGAGCCGCAGTTTGCAGACCATGGGCCAAGCTCATCCGTGGATGCTAAATTACTGTATGGGAAGGCTTTGGAAGAACAGGATACCCATCCATCAAGTCTTCAGGGCTCCTCCCTGTACTGGACTGTTGCTACTCTTACTGATGACATTTCTTTCCTACTTCCTGCACTGTCTGGAAAACTATGGGATGAGACTACGATTCCCTCTTATGGGTGCGAATCCATTATGAAAAGATCCCCCTCCAGACCAAATGAAAAACCACCAAGACGTCGCTGACTGCTCACCATCTCATGCAGAAGCACATTGCCGTCTTTAGTCAGCTTGATGTCTCCAGCGCCAGAAACAAGCCTGTTCAAGGGGCAGAAATGAATCAGTGTGACTTTTTCAACGGACTCCAAAGTGACTCCCATGAAAAAAACGTGCTTTAACCAGGTCCGCGGGCGCTGGGGCTACAGGGCGGACCCCCTCCTCCTCCTGGTGGTAACATAGCGGTGCGGAGCCCACCCCGCTCCCCTGGGGGAAAGCCCGCCGGGCCCCCGGGTGGCGCAGGTCCCGGAGCACGAGGGCGCGCCGCGCACGCGGGCAGCTTTGTTCCCCGCGGGGACGGCACCGACCGCGAGAGGCGGCGGCGGAGCAGGCAGTAGGCCCGGCCACGGGAGGACGCGGGGAAAGGGGCCGCGGCGGCGCGCGGAGGCCCGGGCCCGGCGGGCTGGAGACCACCCCTCCCGGCGCCCGGCGCGCGGCCCGCCGCGGCGGGGAGAGCAGCGCGAGCCGGCCCTCCGCTCCGGCCCCGCCTTACATCTTCATGGTGCCTTTAGGCCCCAGGTTGGTCCTCAGCACGTCCTGCAGGCCCCGGGCCGCGCTGATGTTGACCGCCAACGCCGCCTGGGCCCGGGCCACCTCGGCTTTGGGGTTCAGGCTCTTCACGGCCGCCATCGTGGAGCCAGCAAAAGAGGAAAAGAGCGACGCTAGCTCAGCCCGGCCGCGAGGCGCTATCCGGGTCTTCTGGAAGAGTCCGGCGCCCGCCCGCCCCCAGCGTGCCTACGCGCCGCCGCCATTGGGCCGCGGGGCCGCTGGCGCCGCCGCTCATTGGGCCGCAGGCCTGAGGCCCCGCCCCTCGCGCCGGGGCCACTGCGCCATGGCGTCGGGGAGGATCCTGTTCCTGGGGCGGTGTGGCGGCCGGGCTAGTGGGGCAGGGCTAGTGTTACCGGCCCATCCGTCCTCGCTGTGCGGAACGGTTTGCGCGCCGTGAGCCGCCTCGGTCGGGGGCTGTTTCCTGGAGGCCTCTGCCCGCAGGGTGGAGGGTAGGCTTTCTCTCTCTCTCCCACTCCCGCGGTTTGCCTGGCCTCCTCCCCTCCTTTCAGGCCTGCTACCTGCGTTTTCTGGATGATACACTCGGTGCCTGACAGTGTGCTAGGAGGTCCAGGCCCTCTGTGGGTACCTTAATGAGCCTGATGAGGGTTGTGAGGGAGAAGGGGGCTATGCGATAAATGTGACTAGCTCAGCGGGCCACATGGTAGGTCTGACAAGCTCAGTGACCAGAAGTAACCACGTGGGATGGTCTGATCACACATTTCTAACCGGGCGGGTCATAGCTGGTGGTCATCCCAGGCCTGTATGGCTCCCTGAGCAAAGGTCAAGCTTTACCTTAAGTGAGCTCTGTCCATTGTTCTTATGCAGCTAAGGTATCTCTTGGAAATGTATTTTTCTACCCTTAGAAGGCATAACTGCTGGCACCAGAGCAAAAGACCACAGAACCCTTCATTATCTTGTTCCCTGAATACCATCTCTGTGTGCTATAAATGTTAATTATTTAAAAAATATTTTTATAGCCCTGGCTGGTTTGGCTCAGTGGATAGAGCATCGGCCTGCAGACTGAAGGGTCCCAGGTTCCATTCCAGTGGAGGGCATGTTACCTTCGTTGTGGGCACATCTCCAGTAGGGAGTATGCAGGAGCCAGCTGATAGATGTTTCTCTCTCATGTATGTTTCTAACTCTATCCCTCTCTTTTTCTCTCTGTAAAAATATCAATAAAAATATATGTTAAAAATATATATATATTTAACATATTTTATTGATTTTATACAGAGAGTTTTTATACAGAGAGATTTTATATAGAGAGTTAGAAACATCGATGAGAGAGAGTCACCGATCAGCTGCCTCTTGCACACCCCCTACTGGGGATACTCCCGCAACCAAGGTACATGCCCTTGACCGGAATCGAACCCGGGACCCTTCAGTCCCCAAGCCGACGCTCTATCCACTGAGCCAAACCAGTCCTGGCAAAAATATATATATTTTTTATAGAGAGCCCAGCCAGTGCTCAGTGGTTGAGGTCAGTTTCATTCCCGGAGAGGGCACATGCCCAAGTTGCAGGCTCTATCCCCAATAGGAGTGGTGTGGGAAGTTTTGATGATTCTCTTTCCTTCTCCCTTCCTCTCTGAAATCAATAAAAACTAAAAATATTTTTTTTTTCTAGAGAGAGAGAGGGAGAGAGAGAGAAATATTGTGCCTCCTGCACAACACCTCTTACTGGGATTAAGCCCACAAATCTTGGCAAGTGCCCTGACCTGGAATCAAACCAGCAACATTTCAGTGCACTAAACAACACCCAACCAACTGAGTCACACCAACTAGGGTGATATAAATGTTAATTATTAAGAATCCTGTGCCCATCAATGTAAAAGAAATATATGTTTCTCCATTTGCCTTTTATCCAATCCTAGAGATTTCCCTGCTATGCTATCTTCCACCTCATTAATCTAACACTAGTGGATTTCATGTTAACCCTCTTTATTATCCTCTTTTAATTATCATGTATAAAATAAGCTGCAACATGGCATTCTCCGGAGCCTTTCTCAACCCATTGAGATCTTGCTTCCTGGTGTATGTTGACAATTTGACTCAAACTCATAAAAATTCATTTTTTAGGTTTGGATGTTCCTTTTTTAAAATGTGTTTTTATCAACACATTGGCAGGGAGAGAGAGACATCAATGTGAGAAACATCGGTCAGTTGCCTCCCATACGTTGCCCCAACGAGGGACTGAACCCGCAACCTGAGTACGAACCTTGGCCAGGAACTGAATCGGTAACCTTTAGGTACATGGGACAATGCTCAACCAACTGAGCCACACCAGCCAGGACAGGCGTTTCTCACCTTGACAGGAACCTCGCCCAGTGTCCTAGGTGTTTTAGGCCTAGGGAAAATGAAGTGATAAAATGCAAGGTAGAAAGTGCTAGATGCTGCAGGATTGGTGCCTTGGCATTTGAGGTGAAGCAAGAGTCAGTTCACCTTTCAGACTCAGAACACACCGCTGAGGCCTTCCTTAGGCCCTGAAGTCCAGTTTGAAAAACTCAAACTTGATTCAACAATGGTGTCCAGCCTTCGAGAGGACTCTACTTTTAAAAAATACATTTTTATTGATGGTAGAAGAGAGAAAGGGAGAGGGATAAAAAGATAAAAACATTAATGAGAAAGCAACACTGATCTGCTGCCTCCTGCATGCCCCTGACTGGAGATTGAGTCTGCAATCCAGGCATGTACCCTGACCAGGAATCAAACTGGTGACTTCTTGGTTCATGTGTTGACACTCAACCACTGAGCAACACCAGCTAGGCAAGAGGACTCCATTTTTAAGAGAAAAATTCTGAACGATGTCCACAATTGTTTTCTAATATCCAGTTCCCCCAAGTACCAGGTATTTAGTAATGCTTTGTATTTCATTTTTATAGCTAACAATAACAGTTATTCAGAATTCAAAAGGTACCAAAGGGCATATGGTAAAAAGTTAAGTCTTCTTCCCTGTGGTGTAACTTCCACCAGACAAGCACTGTTACGTTTGGATGCTTTGAATTCCCTCAGATGCTTTCTGGACTTATAAATAAATATATAATGTATAAATAAAAGCATTTTTTCTCCATACAAAATAGCAATTTATAATACACATTGCTGCATGTGTTATACTTTAAGTATCTTGGAGATTGTACCATATCGATACAAATAGAGATTCCTCATTCTTATTAATGCTGCATGATATTACCTGGGTGTGTATATTTGAGAATCACAAAAGCGTCTATATAAGTTTGAGTAATAGCACAACACAACAGAAGGAGAGTCATAATGTTACTTGCTGTGCACGCAGATTTATTTAACTACTGTTAGAGATGATGTCACTTAGCCCTACTTTATAGATTAGAAAATTGAGTCAATAAAGTTAAGTAACTTGTCCAAGGTAAACATTGCAAAACTAGAATTCAAACATGAACAGAGATGCAGATTGTAGAATATCAGGCCTCTACTTACAGGTAGGGAAAGGGGGAGTGGAAAGACTTTCCTGAGGTGAAAAATTTAAGGGGCACTAAAAATTCAGTAATTGAGATCAATTATATATATGTTAATTCTCATCTGAGGAGTGAGGATACTTTTTCCACTGATTTTTAGAGAGAGTAGAAGGCAGGGGGATAGAGGGAGAGAGAGTTAAAAATTAAATTGAGAGAGACACATCAATTAGTTGCCTCCCGCTCAAGCCTTGACTAGGGCTGGGGATTGAACCTGCAACCAAGCTACATGCCCTTGGCCGGAATCGAACCTGGCACCCTTCAGTCCACAGGCTGAATCTCTATCCACTGAGCCAAGCCAGCTAGGGCTCATCCTTCTTTTTGTTATTGTTATTCCTCATCTGAGGATATTTTTTTCCATTGATTTTCCTTTAAAAAATAATTTTAAAAGTATTTTTATTGATTTCAGAGCAGAAGGGAGAGATAGAACATCAATGATGAGAAACACTGATCAGCTGCCTCCTGTACACCCCCTACCAGGAATCTAGCCCATAACCTGGGCATGTGTCCTGACTAGGAATTGAATCAGTGACCTCTTGGTTCATGGGTCAACGCTCAACCACTGAGCCATACTGGCCAGGCTAGATGTTATCTTTAGGGAGGAAAAGATCAGGGGGTCTAAACTGCATGACCATCAATACCTAGGGGAGGAAAGGTTACCCTAGGGGCAAGGTTCTTGTTTTCCCAGTTTTCCCTTTGCTAAGCATTCGGGGCTTTCTGCTCAGGCGAGTTTCTGTATCTGGCCCATTGTCCTTGCTCTGCTCATGTCTGTCTAACTGCCTATAATATTTCCAGTAGTAAGGAGAATAGCAGTAATAGTACGAAAATAGAAATATGCAAAATATATCATCATTGGATACTTCTAGGCAAGAATCTAAGTAACCTTGTATTTTATATCATTTAACATTTTTGTCAAATTAATAAATATGATAAGATTGACTGGTTGACCCTAATGCCACTGGATAAAGTGGAGGAAAGAAAAAGATGAGCTCAGCCGAAACCGGTTTGGCTCAAAGGATAGAGCATCAGCTTGGGGACTGAAGGGACCCGGGTTCGATTCCGGTCAAGGGCATGTACCTTGGTTGCGGGCATATCCCCAGTAGGGGGTGTGCAAGAGGCAGCTGATCGATGACTCTCTCTCATCGATGTTTCTAACTCTCTCTCTCCCTTCCTCTCTGTACAAAATTAATAAAATATATTAAAAAAGAAAAAAAAAGAAAAGGATGAGATCAAAGGATCCCAATTCCCAGCTACAGCATTGTATAATGACCTGAAAGCTTCTAAGTCTATCCATCCTGAGTCTTTTGCTGACATCAGCAGTTGGATAGCTCAAATAGCTGAAAACTCAACTCAGAATCTCATGTAAGTGGCTGAATTGCAATGCGAATTGACAAGTGAGGGCATTGATGAAGAAGCAATGGTATCCTGAAATTTGGAATGGAAATGTGAGAACATCCTGATGAGTCTGGATGTTGAGCTCCTCAATCTTGTCGAATCCTCTTGGCCAGCAGAAGAAGCCTCTCTGTCCTTATCTCTGGAGATCTACCCAGCTTTGCCCTAAGAAACTGTAATGGTCTCCCCTGAGGCAGTTCCCTT